CACACATCTTTGAAAATGCCTCTGCTCATTACACTCATATCAGCCCTGTGTTTGCTATTTGTCTGTGAGTCAGACCACTCCTCTTCCCACATATAAACTTTGATTTATCCATCTTGTCCTCCAGGCATGCCTGTAGATGTCCACTCTGGAACTTTCCGACTCTGGCAGATCCAGAACGGCTCCAGCTTCCACGGCTGCATCCAGAATTTGTACATCAACAACGAGCTCCAGGACTTCACCAAGACTCAAATGAAGCCCGGCGTGGTGCCGGGATGTGAGCCCTGCAAGAAGCTCTACTGTGTCCATGGCATCTGCCAACCTGATGGGTTGCAGGGGCCTGTGTGTCATTGCCAGCCAGGTTGGAGTGGGGCGCATTGTGATCAGCCAGCTCTGAACCCCTGCCAGGGCAGCAAGTATGTTAGCAAATAGGAAAGCTCGATCAGGTTTTACATGCTGAAAATACGATGCCTTGAATTGTTTCACCATGTGTATTACAACCACAAACTTTAATGTGTTTTATTGGGAGTTTATGTGACAGATCGACGCAAAGTGGCAGTAAATGTAAAGTGGAAGGAAAAGGATATGTGCATTTTTATTCAGTACTGAGTCAAAACTTTATAGTCACTTTTTGGCCCAGTTGCGCCTTGAATTGAAGGTGTTTAAGCTACGTCTTTACAAGCTTAAAACATCTGGATCTGAAATATTTGGCAATTTTCCTTAACAAAACAGCTTAAGTTCAGTCAGACTGGAGCTTATTCTCAATTGGATATAGATTTAGACTTAGATTTGGTCATTCTGACATATCCTTTGATGTAAATCATCACACTATAGTCATGACCATATTCTTATACTCATTGTCCCAGTGGATGGTCAACCATGTCCAAATCTTACATGTATCATATGATTTCCAATCCTTGTCTCAGCTGAAGAAAATCAGGATATTCAAAATGTTTGCTTTTGAAAAACTGCAAAGAGATTATTTATCACTTTCTTTCCGCAATTGCTTTCTTCTTGTAACTCCTCCATGGAGCCCAGATTGGTGGAGCGCACATCTAGTAGTTGTCCTGTGAACATCTTCTCCCACCTGAGTTGTGGATTTTTCCCTGCTGCTCCAGAATTTGCATGCTGGATTGAGCTTCTTTAAATCTTGAGATATTGTTTTATAATGCTGCTTTAGAACTACCCACAACTTTATGTCTGACCAGTCTGGTGTATCTGTTTGGCCTTCACAATGCTGTTTGTTCACTAAGGCAGTCTAGCAAACTACTGATCAGATTAACATTACGCCCAAACTCGTGTAAATCACGTCAACTCCAAAACAAGACATTAAAGTTTATGGCTATAACATCATAATAAATGGAAGCATTCAAACTGTATGAGTACTTTTGCAAACTAATAGATGTAGCATTGGTACCTTTTTCCTCATTATTGATTACAGTTGACAACTCTTGTTTTCTGATTATGAAACATCAGCAGTGAAGATCAGTTCTTGGTAGGACATACCTAAATGAAGTTATCTCCTCTCAGATGCGTCCATGGAAAGTGCATTCCTCTGGACCTGCAGTCATATCGCTGCGAGTGTGAAGAGGGCTACCGAGGCGCGCTATGCAACCAGCAAGGAGAGCTGTTCAATCCCTGCCGCCGCCTCACCTGCAAACATGGTCGCTGCCAGATCTCTGACAGCGGAGACGCGTACTGCCACTGCGAAAGTGGCTACACAGGAGAACTCTGTGACGCAGGTTTGTTTGTGCTCTCTAAAATAGAGGACAAACACTTCAGAGTCAGCGAAATGTTCAGATCAATAAATGGCTTGTCTATTTTTACAGAGTCTGAATGTCGAGGAGAGCCAGTGAGAGACTTCTACCAGGTGCAGCGAGGCTACGCCATCTGTCAAACAACTCGCATGGTGTCCTGGGTGGAGTGCATCGGAGCTTGTGACACGGGGAACTGCTGCATCAGCCAGAGGATGAAACGCCGAAAATACACCTTCGAGTGCAGCGACGGAACGTCCTTCACCGAGGAGGTAGAAAAGACCATCAAGTGCGGCTGCGTGGGCTGCATGTAGCACCGTTCACCCGCTCCTCCTGCCGCTGCTGCAGAGCAGAAGATTGAAAGCAAGGAAAGAAGGAAGGAAGAAAACTGCTGAAAGGTGGAGGAAAGAAAGCAAGAATGAAAGAGATTATACAGAATATATATAAAACCTCTATCTATATATTATGGACAACAATGTTTGTAAAATAGGACATTTCCTCTCCTGTGTGAGGATGTGTGACCTACATTAAAACAGAAACACCCTGAGCATCAGTGTAGGTGTGACAACAACAAAAATAAAACCATAGTATCTGCAACATTGTTCCAAGGGGTCCGGAGATTTTGTAGGTGTTGCATTCAGAGTGAGGCATCCTTCCTGCCCAAACTATCCCATAAGAACACCCCATCTATCTGTGAGACCTCCAATGGCTCAACCACCATCATCCATCTTTAGTCCATGGAGGTAAGAAGGACAAGAGGGTTTATTTTAGCTCTAGAGATAAGAAGAGAGCTGAGTCTTGAGTTGAGCTTGGCTCGATTACCTGGACAGTGTTGGACACGGGTTGGATTTAGTTGAAGACGCCACCCAGACAGGTGCCGTCATTTCTCCACCAGGATGCTGCCCTCCAGGCTTAACACCTACATGTCAGAGTGAACGTAAGGGGACAGGGAACCTAAGGTTAAAGAGGGTGCGGTGTTGTGGGTTTGGGGCGAGGTGCAGAGAGATGTTTGCTATAAGCTCCCACAACATAGAAATCCCCCGCAAATAAAGACTGCATGGACTGGCAGCCAAACTCATCTCTGTGAAACACACGGTCACACAAGCGTGGTACACAACACAATCCTGACGTGGCTTGGAAGGCCTGGTGTGGCACAGCTGTTCCCGCAGAGGCAGTGCCCCCAGCATGTATCGCCCCAGGGTGGGGATGTTTTGCATAATCCTGCAGGAGGCCGAGTGACCCTGCTCCCATTGATGCCTGTAGTATTAAACCACCACAAACTGTTGCATGTGTGGAGAGTTTGCCAACAAATATGTAAAGATTTTTCCGTATTATTATGAAGATTATTACAAAAGGTTCAGTCATCTTTTGTTGTTTTTATTTTTATTCATTTTTCTTATATATTTCTTTTTGTTATAATTTGTCTCATGACGTATTCTAACTTCTTTAGTTGTCCTTGCCCAGTTTCCCAGCCCATCCTATATTGTAATGCCTAACAGATTCTAATATATATATATATATAAATATATATAAATATATTTGTATTTCATTTGGTATAGTATTTTTCTATGTTTAAGAGTACGTCTGTGTTAGGAAGCATTTAGACTGGTGGAGAGGCATTCAGTTGGTTTTCTAGTTGTTTTTATTTGTTGATCTCACCTTCTTCTCCAGCAAAGTAATTAATTGAACAGACATAAAAGGCAGCAGTTGGTTGACCTTGTTGCATCAAAGGCAGTATTGGTCTAAAAAAAATTGTGAAATATTGTATATGTTGTCTTCCATGTGAATATTACATCTAATTCATGAGAATCTGTGCTTGTTTTTATTTATTTTAAGCGTAAGTGTTGCTGGCGTTCAAATTTGAAAATCAAGTCCAAAAAAAGTGCTCAAAATGGCAGCAGGAAAAAAAATGCATGGAGTGTTTGTAACGTCACTCCACAGTGAGTTGCGACAGTGTTTTCTTCCCGGAGGCTCAGATGTTTCTACTGGTTAGTGTGAGCTTGGAGCTCAGAATGACATGTCCCACTCAAATTTGGTTTGTAAATTAATTACCTGACCACACAGAAAATCTTTTTAATCTGTTTCATGTTTTTATGTGATGGGCATCATTTTTACCATTTTATTCTGAGAGATGTTTGCCATTGAACAAAGGTGTATGTTCTTTAGCTAAGATGGGCTCAACCGATCATAAGCTGCTGTCAAGCCTCAAGAAAACGGGATGAAGTTGCCTCTGTGGACACTGATCATGTAAAGGTGGATCATCCTTATATTTCTCTTTTAGGGGCAACTGTGAGAAGCATTACATGCCAACTACTGACAGATAACAAGAAAAGGCCTGGACATGTTTACTGTCTGTCAGTTTCGAACTGGTTATCCTCACATAAAAAAAAAGGGAAAAAAAAAAGAAAAGATGCCAATTTTCGTGAGCAGTCGTCAAACCTGAATGTATAAATGTGTATAGATAAATATGAGCAATGCTTATTCATAAAGTGGTAACTTTTAGCTGTTATTTAGTTTCCAGTGTAAGATACAGGAAATTGCATTTAGAGAGAGTGACGGCCCAACAGAATGCTCTGTTGACTGTGTTTCTCCAAATGCCTCATTATGGTGTAAAAGGCTGCAGTACAGTGTCACATCTTACAGGTTCCAGTTCATATTGCTACCCATGCTAACTTTGTTTTTGATGCTGTTAATGTGATGCCAGTGGTGTACAATAACATTACAACAAAATCTGTTGAACCATACTAATGAGCAGTCACCATAATATTTAGGCCATGTGCCTCATAAAGGTGCATATTTTTAGTTAAATGTGACTTTCTCTTCATGGCTCTTCTCATTCCTTTGCACTGATCTGTACTGGACCGGTGCTGATAGACCTCATCATAGACATCTTAGTGGTGTTTTGTTATATTATAATGTAATTCCATAATTTGGACAAATGAACAGAAACAGATTTTCTTTCCGTCCTATGAACTATATACATAAATGTTATTGTGAACAACACACTGTCTCAGTTGTATTAACATGGTGCAAAAGCTAAAGAAATATCCCTGGTCAGGTTCTGTCTGTTTGTTTTTCATGTTGCAGGACTGATTGGGAGGGTTCAACTGAAAACGTCATTATACTGAATGTATGTAGTGCCACCGACAAAATGTTTACCAAATCTCCACTCTTTTCATTAATTAAACCTAAAATGTGTGTGCTTTTAAGAATGATTGTCTTTTTTTCTTGTGGCTGATGTTTATTATTTTGCTCTTTACTGCCTGAATTTGTTTACAGTAGAAAATAAATGTTTGTTTTTTTGCTGTCAAGCACATTCTAAAATAAGTGATAGAACAGCTGTGTTGGGCCAAAGTCAGGCTCTCTTATTCTCTTCTGTTGAGATGATGCTCATCCAGAAATCTAACAACAAGATCAGGTTTCAAAAGATGAAAATGTGACTCCTTTGGTATCAGAAGCATATTTACATAAACAGTAACAGGAAGGCATTATTCAAAACTTATACACATATGGTTACATTTTTGTTCTATTAATATACATAAAAAAGGCCTTGGAAAGCAGAAAGAAAGAAAAAAAACCCATAAAATTAGGCAATCTTTCAAAAAATCTATCTAAAAGTTCTTTTTAGAGCGCTGTTTCGCTCTCATGTGTTATCCCAGCATCCTTTGCCATGGAGTAGAAATGGCCTCTTTTTTCCATCAGATTGCTTGGAGAATCAAATTCCACAATTTTACCAGCATCAAGAACCATCACCCTGTGGAGCAGGAATGTCATATTATTATTATTATATGTGCCTGGATTGATATAAGTCGGGACATTTCAGACTCTTGTGCTGAACTCGGACTCACCTGGAGCTGTCCATGATGCTGTGCAGACGGTGGGCGATGGTGAGCACCGTGCAGTGGGAGAACTCTTTGCGGATTGTAGTCTGAATCAGGTCGTCTGTCTCCAGGTCAACGGCCGCAGTGGCCTCATCCAGGATCAGGATTCGAGACTTTCTCAGCAGAGCCCGAGCCAGACAAAGCAGCTGCCTCTGACCAACACTGGAAGAGAGAGGCAGATGTTCAGATCTTATCTGGAGCTCTCAGAAAATGTGTGCGTACAAAGTGCTTTGTATACAGAGCTGTGACAAAGTATTTGCCGCATTAACAATGTGTAACAATATTCCAGTTCATCAAAAAAAAATGTCAGTCAAAATGACCAGGACAAATACAAGAAGAAGCTATAAAATTGGGATTTCATTTATAAAGAAAAACAGCTAACCAAGCCAACCTGGCCCAGTGTAAGAAAGTAAATGCCCTCTGAACCTAATAACTGCTTGTGCCACTATTGGCATAAATCACTCTGGGATCAGTATTCATCAATTACAAAATATTATATAGTTATGCATTTACAGATAATTGAACATATCCAACAATTTTCTAAAAGCATTGAGTATAATCTGAATTAGACATTTACACATTTTGACATCTTATAAGCGCATCTTTCTGCAGCTACATCCGATGCAATGTGATTTGAATAGTCAGCATTGTTTAAGTTTATGCTGCCCACCTCAGGTTTTCTCCCCCTTCTGCAACCTCATGCTGCAATCCTTCCTTCAGCCCAGCTACATAATCCTTTAGATGAGACAGCTCAAGCACTCTCCAGAGCTCCTCATCGCTAAATTTGTCAAATGGATCCAAGTTCATCCTCAGTGACCCAGAGAACAAGACTGGATCCTGCGCTCCAGAAGCAAATAGGTAATTGTACTTAGCAGAAAAGATGATTTTGCTTTTGCATTGTCTTTTACTGTCTTTGGTGTTTACCTGCGGGATGATTGTGAGTCTGTTTCTTAGATCATGCAGTCCAATTGTGGAAATATCCACATTATCGATAAGGATACGTCCATCGGCTGCTTCAATTATGCGAAACAGGCAGTTTGCCAGGCTTGATTTTCCAGCTCCAGTGCGACCCACTATACCAATCTGAAAAGAATGACAGAAAAAGACATACAGTGTAGTAAATAATGTGCTATGATGATTCTTTTTGGTGGATGCAGTTAGTTGGTGCATCCCAAAAACATGCAAAAATACAGTTAGAAGCGTTTCTACTTTGAAACCAGCTTTAATCTTTAGAGAAATTTCTACTGCATTCTTGTCTATGTCATGACACAATTATTTTAAGTGCCAAGTATTTGATAAGGATTGTAATTTTCTCTGCCTTATGTTAGAGTCACAGAAAACAGTTTTATTAAATTTTATTTGTCTTTTCAACTGGTTTCTGGGAACAAATAAAAACAGGGTTTTAAAAAGCGATCTGTTGGCAGAATGTCTGAGTAATTCTACTGATACAATCTAAATGCAGAAGTGTGTGATTAAAACATTGCCTGCAGATTACATTTTTCATTTGCCCACATATCCAATATGCTATCTACACAAACAAATTAAAAGATGAAATACCAAACAGGCAGGTGGGAGTAAATCCTTGTAAAAGAATTAAAAATATCCAATAGGTTTCTTTCCCGATAGTTAATCACAACTCTCGTTGCTTTGTAAGAAGAAACCAAAAAAATCCTAAATGTAAACAACTCTGTTGGTTTAGGGCTTATACAGTTTGATTCTTCAACAAAAAAAAAAAAAAAAAATTGAGCAATGTTTCCACAATGAAAGAGACAAACCTTCTCAGTACCACTGATGTCACAGGAAATCCCTTTCAGGACCAGGTCCAGTTCAGGTCTGTAGCGGACCTTGTAGTCTACAAACTGCAGGCGTCCTACTTCAGGCCACTTCTCTGAAGGCCGATGCTGAGTCACCCAGGGAACCTGAAGAAGAACCGGTGATAATTTCAGTGTCTTGACCTGAAAAATTGTCTAAGCATTCTTTCTGGGATGATGATGTCAACAGAGTGACAGATAAAAGACACGTCAATGCAGGAGCCATTATTCTGTCTGATGTAAGACATTAGTTGGGCCACTAGGTGTCACACTAGTATGTAAGAAAATATATGTAAAAAGCTTGAGCTGTTTTTTGACTATTTCAATGCATCATGATTGACATGTGTGAGCTAGACTTCAACAAAAACTACTTATTGGTAAGAAATAAAGTCTTGAAGTAACCAGATAAAGCCATCTGAATTCATTGGACTTTACTAAGACAAGACAGATTTATTGATCAAATGGTGTATGCACAACTTCACTCATTGAAAAACTTAAGTCAAGTTTTTCTGTAGTATGTAGGCACACACACTACAGACAGAGCCAGTACAATCAAAAACACCACCAGCTAAATTAGCTTTAGATTTTTGCACAGAAAAGTCAAAACTTTCACCAAAAAAATGCTAAATGATTTCAACCAGCTTGATAGAAATAGATTTCAGCAAACAGAGAACAGATGTGAATATACTATTGGCAAACTGTAAAAAGTACAACGTACCTCATTCTCAAGCTCAGAGTATTCATTCACTCTTTCTACGGCTACAATATTAGTCTCCAGCTGTGAGGTTATGTTAACCACAAAGTGGAGGGTCAGAGTTACCTGAAAACCACAAGACAGAAATTCAATTAAGGTGTTTTGGGTTATTTATAACCTTGTGCAATATATTTTGCTTTCTGATCGAGATCAAGTGACTCACATTTAGTGCATATGATATTGAGAGGCCAACGAGGCCGCTGTCAATGGAGTTTCTGGAAATGACAGCAAATACAGCAGCAAAAAACACCACAAGGTTTCCAAGAAACTGCAGGCGGATGGCCAGCCATCTGTTGAGGAAACAAACACCACCTTTAAACATAAACACAAATGCATGCAAATATCCCTGTCTGAGCCCCATAAGTGGGAATACAATATTTGCTAACCACATTTTTAGACTAATTACAGATTTTGTTATATTAAGAGGTAAAGTGGGTGCAATATTTGTGATATCTCGTGTTCAACTTGAAATCTGCACAAAGGAATCTAATCAAGTGATAAAATGGGCAGACTCACATGTGTATGGGACAGGTTCCATCATGGGGAACCCAGAGAAGTACTTGAAGTTGACACAAAAACCCAAAGACTGAGTAGAGCCAACACAAAGTACACCAGAAGGGTTGGTTTAGGGTAGGGCTAACTCTAAGTTAGCCCTACCCTAATAGGAGCCTCATAGGAGCCAAAAGTGGCAACATTTCTGTAGGCCCCATTTGGCAACCCATACACAAGTTCCATGTTTTTGATTTATGGGATGAGTAGTAGTTTGTTTTTGTTTACTTTTCCAGATACATCAAAGTCCATGATGTGTCCAAGCAAACATGTGCTATGTTACTGTACAATCAGATAGACATAAGAATCATAATTTAGTTGTGTTTGGGGGTTCCCTTCCATGCTGACCTGTTTGACATGATCCTTGAATAGATCATCTTCAAGTTTTCATCGATGGTTACTTCATTGTGTTTCATAAACCGTTCCTGATGGTTGTAGGCTCTTATCACGGACAGACCTGACATGGTCTCGCCAAAGTGGGAAAATATAGGCGAGCGAGAGACTGACTCCATGCGACGCAGCTGTCGTGAAGATGGTATGTAGAATCGCTGGAAGAGAATGGAGGAAAAAAAATTGTAACACGTTAACATAAACACTCTTTAGTACTACCACGAGACTTAAGTCAATTTGATCCAAGTCAAAGTTGTGTAAAAATTCAACTGACAGAAAATGCTGAAACTTGTGTATTATAACTCACTTGTACAAAGAAGTAGATAGCAGCCAGAGGAATGATGACAATGATGAAGAGAGGAGTGGAAAGACAGAGGAAAACCATAGTTCCCAGAATGCCCAGCAGATGCATGATCCAGGAGCTGAACAATTGCGGAATGACTTCATCTATTATGAATATGTCCTGCAAGAAGAGTTGGTATTTCACAGGTTTTAAAGCAGAATGTTATTAACAAACAACAGTTTAAAACTGTGAAAATTAGAAAGGATTGTATCTATTCTTTTTTTCAAATAGCATGTTTTTAAAAATTTCAAACAAGCTAATAAAAAATTCAGACAAGAAGAAATATGGACAACCCCACCTTTGCGAAGCGGTTGAGGACTCTTCCAAGTGGTGTAGTGTCAAAGAAAACCATGGGGACTCGAAGGACATTGTTAAGTAGTTTTGAATGCAGAACACGAGATGCGTTGACTGCAGCATTGGTCAGGAGCAGCGTGCCAAGGAAGACAAACAGACCTGAAATAATAATTAAAAAAAAAAAAAAAAACAATACAAAGTTGTCCATGGACAAATCCCTTTCATTTTGCATAAAAGGATGGTTTCAACTGTTTAAAATAAAGACAACAATGATCATCAGTACATTAAAAGGAATCAAAGTACTTTGATTTCATACTTAAAAACTTCCATAAGGGACATTCAGACTCAGGTGGTGTAACTTTTGGTTGAGTAGCAGAGTAAAGAAGGGAAAGACAAAAGTTTGCTGTTCCTTCTCCAGTTTTAGCCCAAAGTACCTCCCTGAGGGTGAAAGCTGGTGATGATTAGACAGGACATTGGCTCGCCTCCCAGTGTCTGGAAAGCCTCTCCAATAATTTGTTATACACAGGAGTTCATGGTTGGCTCATGGACTGAAAGATGCCAAGATTTTGTTCTTCAAAGCAATCGTAAACCCACTGGTACATTTGAGATTAAATAGTAATAAATCAGACTCTTGATCACTGGAAAATAGAAAATGTTCAAACATGAAGTTTAATAAGTGGTGTCATAGCAACTGGCAATTGTACAAATTGCGAGCAAGGAAACCTTTAATGTTCTAGAGAGTTTTAGCATTTTGTGGTCCAAAATGCAGTTTGAACATATAAAAGGAGCCAGTAGACCAGTATTAGAACACAGCACGCATTTCACTGTTATTGTAACTTTGCAAGACAATATTTTTGTGTTATATGACATAATTCGGAACAAAAAGAATTAAGAACTGTTTAATTACCCTGAGTCATTCCAAGAGCACCAAATACCCCCACTCTGGTGTCTCTCTTCATGGGAGAGTATGTCTGGTTGTAATGCTCCACTGCATCATTGGTCCAGTCACTCAGCCACAGGCTTTGACCAATAAAGGCAATATTCTGGATGACATAAATGAAGAGGGCCCAAAAGGCATATCCCCAGCCCATGGCTTGTACGTACTGGAGCCAGACTGAGAATTTAACCTGGATGTCAAGAAGAAAACAAACACCAGGGAAATAAATTGTCTAGCACTGAAGCAAAGTGTTGTGAAAATGCATGTTTCTTTTTTTTTTTTTTTTTTGTTTTGTTTTTATCAAAGTCCAATGACACTTAAAGAAGGATGGAACCTTCTGTAAGTGTCTGGGCTGAGATAGGTTAGTTAAATACAATGTCTTTGTATGTGTTGGTTTAAAGAATTGCCATGCAAGTTTATTGATTTCTGTTCCCTCCTCTTCTCTTTATCTTTTCTCTCACACACTACATTTTCAGACGGTAAGAAACACTAAAGATATGTTTTATTTGCCTAGCTTCTGAATCTAGATCATGGTCTGGTTCTATGATCCATTGTCTTCCTAATCTTGGATCTTTCCAGGAAAGCGCTCCCTTCCGAATTCTCCGATGGTGCCCTGATTATTTTCTCTCGCTCTTTTAAAAAAAAACTTTAACTCTGTTAACAATGCCTCTAGTAACAAATTAGTCCTCATAATTATTGGCAGTTAAATAAGCTAAGCACTGAATACAAACATTAAATCTGGACTTTAGGAGGCTAATGTTTAAGACCTTAAATGCTCATTCAGGAATATATTCCCTCCAGGAAAGATGTGCATTTAAAAATGTCAATAAATCAATAAATTGCAAATTAAGTCACCTACTCAAGTATGAAGCTATGGTAGTGTAACTCAATAAGTCAATGATTTGAATGTCCTGCTAGTAGCATGTCTTTGAGCATGATATTCAAAGAAGGATTTAGGAAATACATCTCATCCAGACACAGACAATCTGGTAAGAAACATGCTGGTCCTTATGTATGGCACAGTCAAGTAAATTTGATAAGCTTATGATCTGATACACTGAAGGTCAAAGGACAAAAAGAATATAAGAACTGTTTAATTATTGTTGGCCTGCCTACAATCTGCTTGTAGGCAGGCCAAACTCTGCCTACAAGCAGATTGGCATCATTAGGAGCTCAGAAAATGTGCAGCAGAAGTAAAGGCTGAAACTGAACATAACAAACACCCTGGGAATATGACAGAATGAGGCTGATAAAAAACGTATACCTGTCCTGTTTCCACAGTCTCTTTCTCAATTAGCCTCTGACCTTTCTTTGTGTTTTCAGGGGATTTTAAATTGCTGTTTTTTCTTAATCTGAAACTACAGAGAGCACAGAACAGAAGAGAGGAGAAAAGAAAGAAAGAAATCATAAAGAGCACCAGCTGAAATACTATAGCAAAGCTTTGACAAGTAAATAAGTCTTTGTGTTTCTTTTTTGGAATTATCCTTTTTACACCACCATGTAATTCAAGAACAACTCTCCACATATTCTATATATTGTGGGGATCACATTATATATATCACATTTTATATATTGTACCTATAAAATGTTTATAGGTACAATATATGACTATATATTGTGAAATGCCTATAAAAATATTAACCTCCTTTGGATAATTCAACACCTTATTGCTTTTGCAAATAAAATAATGGTAAATATGACTTTATATGAAGTACAAACAATAAAACAAAGTACTCTCTAATATCAAAATATAAAAAATGATGGAAATAATAATTTAAATCAACTGATCAAATTCAACAGAAGTTGAGTTAACAAGTGTGAGCAGCATCATCCCACAATGTGAAATGGAGATCACCTGGTTCATCAATATTCCTTCTACATTTATAACATGAAGACAAAGCATATATATCTGAAATATGTTTTTACTCTCAGAGTTGTTGATTGCAATGAAGTTTCACATGAGTTATGGAAACATCACTCCGCTTGATATAAACTACGCTAAATAAAAATTTACAGTGGGAACAGTCATTCTCAGCTTTTGTACAGTACAGTTTGATCAAACCTGCTTCTGTTTCCTCTCTGGCTCCGACGGAGGCTGTTTTCCCTCCTCACCATGAGCGAAACAGCGTCCGTCAAAGAATCATCTGACTTGTTGCCCTCTGAGTCAGAGTCTTCTTGATCGTGACGTCCATCTAAAAAGACAGTGATAAAGATTAATCTTTCATCTAACATTTCTTATATTGAATGGGAATTAACATGATTACCTTCTGAACTTGTGTGATTACTTTGCTCTGTGCCGTATGCGTCTAAAAATTCTGAGAAAGCTCCTTTGCTGGCACGGAGGTTCTGGTAGGATCCCACCTCAGAAACCTGTCCATTCACCAAAACTACAACTTCATCTACACAAGGCAGGAAACTAACTCCATGAGTCACTAGGATACGAGTCTGCAGAGACACAAAACAGTAAAAAAAAAAAAAAGAAAAAGCTTAGCATTATTAGGTCTTTATGGGAATATAATCAGAGTCATTTAGATCCCAACTTTATGGAATTTCAGGGAACAGTTTTTCACAAGATATTGTTCATGTTTTTATCCAACACATTAATTATGCACATGCAAACCTTGTCTTTCAGAAGTCCATTGGGTCCAATAACTTTATCAAATAGATGCTTTCCAACATGTGAGTCAACAGCAGACAGGGGGTCATCTAGTAGAAAAATATCGGCATGACTGTAAGCTGCTCTGGCCAAGCTGACACGCTGTTTCTGACCTCCTGAGAGATTGATGCCCTACAAATACAAATCGAATGTATGACATTTACCAAAACATTTCATGCAAACAATTCTGACATTGTTTAAATTCTAAACTTTGAATACATGAACCTACCTTTTCTCCAATCTCAGTGAGATCTCCTGCAGACAGCAGCTTGAGGTCGGGGCCCAGAGCACAGGCCTCCAGTACGTCTTCGAACCTCTGCTCTTCAAAGGGAGAGCCGAACAAGATGTTATCCCGCAGAGTGGCATTTTGGATCCAGGCTTGCTGTGGTACAAATGCAAGAGAGCCCTGGGTGGAAATACAAAAGATCCAGTAACCATTCTTTTATTTAAAAAGATATGCCAAATGAAATTTAGAGCTTATAGTTCTCTATGACTTTCACAGGTTTACTTTTCTAATAAGTGTCAACTGTGTGTATTTTCTGAGAATAAATGTGGTTCAGCCTATTTTAATTATGGGCATGGCTGTTAATGAGACATGTGTATGATACTTTTTTTTAACAATAAGTAGAAACACATTTTTATTTCCTTAGCTATGTGGCCAGGCTTGTCAGACTATCTGAGCACAGCAGTAACCAAAGAATTTTGTAACTACTCTTGTTAATTTTCACAAGCAATTTTTGATATACTTTGGATTGCATTCTTTGAGTATTTTTTGTGCCTTTAGCTATGGTTCATGGGTACCCAAGACCAGACCTCAAGAGCCACCATCCTGTAACTCAGATACATGCAAACCTGCTTCAACATGCCTGAATCAAATGAGTGGCTTGTTTCCAGGCCTATACAAAGCTGAATGACTGCTGGTGAAGGAAATTAGCCACTTGATAGATGTGTAGGACCATGAATGCATCTGAAAGTTGCAGGATGGTAGCTCTCAGTCTGGATTTGGGCACTCCTGCAATATATCATAGTGTCATCAAATCTTTCAATTATTAATTTGAGTTGTAATATTCTTAGAAATATCTCAGTTCATTTTTTTCTGATCAAAACTGACAGCAGCCCATGTAGTATTACTAATGGCATCTTTAGGAAAATAAGAACAATAGTACATTCTTTAGAAATCTGCCTAGTATCGTTTTAAACCAGTTTTTTTTTTGTTTTGTTTTTAATTGCCACTATTTTTACCCTAAGTAATGTGCAAAAACATACAAAAACATATTACTTGAATGTTAATGAAGCCTTTGGTCCTGTGCATTTCTCCCAGGAGCGCCGATAAGAGAGAGGACTTCCCTGAGCCCACAGTTCCTACTACAGCCACCAGCCCGCCAGGCTTAATGTCAAGCGACACACTGGGAGACAAAAGCAAAAGTAAAATAAAAAATAAAGCAGCTTTAAAAGCCAATTTTGTGGCGAGACACTGTAAGATACTCAAGAACAGCTATGAACTCAATACAACAGACATACCTTTTCAGTAGAGGTTCAGAGTCTTTTTCCCATGCGAAAGAACCATCACATATGCTGACAGCAGAGTCTTGGAAAAAAACACATTAAAACAAATCACCCAGTCCGATTCCTGACTGTAGGTGAAACCATCCTTTATTGCAATGCATGGAATGATGAAAAAATAACCAAGTGTGGTCTGCATGGTGAAAAGTGACCAGCCCCCAAGCTCCAAAGACTGCCTCCAGATTAGGCAGTGCATAAATGTATTTTTATTGGCGATAGCAATGAATATTGAAGTAAATCAATGTTATTCAATGCACTAGTGATAACACACACATACTCTTCAATGCATTTTAACTTACACTGAGGTTTGCATACTGAATGAAGTAAGTCACTTGCTAGGAATAATTTGCTTGCTACAGACATCATTTAAGCTTACATTAGCTAATTTTACCCTACCCACTGCTCTTTGCATACGGCATGAAGTATGTTAGATGTCAACATGGTACTGATAACATTTTAGCTAATTGTGGCTTTTATATTAAGGTTTGCACATTGAATGGAGTAAGCTATTGTTAATCAATAGGGATTTTCCACATCTCAATAGTAGGAGTTAAAGGGTTCTGCATGGTGGAGATGAACTTACAAAATCAGTTCTCATTGTTGCAGATGCGTGATGAAAATTGCGTTGTTTTGTTCTCAGCCTCATGTCTTCCATTCCTTCTTGTTACAAGTCCCCTGATGAGCTTTTTGCCCTGCTCTCCTTGCAAACCTTTTGTGTGATTGGACTGACTTTCATGGGTATGCTCATTCAGAAAACAGCACTACACAACTTCACTTTCCATCAGAACACCAATTTTTCCATCGAAGATCAAATTTTGAAGAGTAGATTTTATGTAGAAGCTGAACCTAACATACTGAATCAACAGTGAGATGTGGGCTGTCAGAAGCCAAATGAGTCTACCTTGATAAAACAGCTAAATAGATTTCTTGTAGATACTGATCAGCATAAGATTCAGTATGATTAGGAATCTCAGTTCCCACTGGACGGAGAGATGGTTAAGTGTCAACCGCTCAGATCAGAGAGTTAGTTTGGAGGGGTATAATACTTTGCATAACAAGACAAATAAATGGTTAACTTACTAAAACTAGGGTCATGACGCACAATGTCGCTTTCAAGGTCATCTCCTCCCAGAAACTTTTCCAGTCTCTTCTTAGACACCGCTGTCTGACGTGTGAAATGAACAGATAACTATAGTTTTCATTACAGCTCTGCCTTGTGTCCATGCTGCAGTTAAAACAGTATTTACCTGCACAATGGCAGCTATGAGCATAGGAAGCATGCTCAGTGGCTGTCGTAGAATGTTGAATAGAGAGATTGAAGTGAAGGCTTTCTCAGCAGTTAATATGTTTTCTGAGCTCACCGTAACAAACACAGCAAATGTGGCCAAAGAAACCTGCCAAGACCCACAGGACATGTTAGCATCAAGGAGCTTCATGGGCTTTTACTAACTTGGCAAACCTTTAAGATGACTCACTAGAGTGGGGGCACAGTTCGAGATAAAAGTGGAGAAAGATGTGAGATAGGCAAACTTCCTCATCACCTTCAGTTCTTGTCCTCTAATATTTTCAACTTGAGTCTGGAAGGACGGCTCCCACGCAAACAGTTTCAGAGTCTGGTAAGAAATGAAGGATGAAGTCAGAAACAAGGGTTTTGAAGTGGACCCACTTATATTACACCAAAATGTCTAAATTTGTCAGAAAGAATTTAAGTATCTGATCATTATCAGAAGAGGGGATTACCTTGATTCCATTCAGTATTTCATTCATTATTTTTAATCTCTTGTCTTTAGACTTCATGTTTTCTCTCTGAAAACAAATATAATGCATTTCATTATTAATCGCACGTAGCAAATATCAAAACTAGAGAAACTATAATACCTTAAATAAAGATGCAATAAAAATAAGTTGTTGGAAGATTATCAACACCTTACAAAATAAATACCTAAGAATCAGACCTGAGAAAGATTATGAACACCTGTAAATAGCTACAGGCAAGTATCAAAAGATCAAAAAAAGCCTAGCCTTTCCAGACTGACATAAATCAGTTAGATTGCCACTTACCTGTTCTTAAATTTTCAAAGATTGGAGCAAGATTTGATGCATTTGAGACATGCTTCATTTTTAGTGATTGATTGTTTTTGTGCTAAAGAGAAGGAATCCACCATCTTGTTTTTACATTTTGAAAGCAATTGTATCTATATCTTTTTTTTTTTTATCTTAAAACACAAGTTTAACAAAAAATATGCAACTGTTATCACACAAGCCACATTTGAAAGGTGCATGAAGAACTTATTTGTAATTCCAGTGACCTGAATTTTTTTGGCCTGGTTGGCTAACAGTCCATTGACCGGCACCATAAGCAGCATTACTGCAACCCCTGCTAATGTTGAAGGTCCCAACTCCATCCACAAGAAAACGATGGACACCAGGATCTGCAGGGGGCAGGACCACAGCAGGTGGATGAAGTTGGTCACGTCGTTGAAGCGCTGGGCGTCTGCTGACATGAGATTCACAGTTTCTCCGACTGTTGACTCTTTGCGGTTGTCATTAGACATCACCAACGCCTTTGAAAGAAGATAGAGAAGAAAATTGACAAAGAGAGGGAGACAAAATAACAACGTTCAAAGCTGAATAAAATAAAAGACTAAGCTATTAGTTAAAGCTGAAGTTGGAAGTTATATATCTGTCTGTAGACAAAAGGGCTGAATTTAAAGCCAATAGTTTCATAGCTACAAAAAACAGTAAATTGCATCATTAAAGTAAATGAAAAATGTTGTCTATGCTTTTGGAGTCTTTTAAATAAATGACAAAAGTATTTACTAAATCAAAGGTTGGCGTTTTAGCTTAATTAAATTGCATAAAGGGGTTGTTGTGATGACTTCTCTGCTGATACCTTCTTGTACACGGCAGCCATGAGGGCAGCTCGAACCTTCATCCCCAGAACAAAGCATCGCCGCAAATACTGCTGCAAGACCAGCGATTGCAGAAGAGCCACCAGCAGCAGCAGCACGGCATACAAATACCCTTTCCATGCATAGCAGGATTCGTCCTGAGTGAAGGAAACCATCAACCTGAGTAAGAGAATAAAACATCACATATGATGATGATGATATGACACTCATAATGTTCTAGGTAATCCTATGCTGGACTGTTTTCCTTACTTACAAATGAATTTACTGTTTACTTTCTTCTCAAGCTGTCCTGGTGTTATCAGTGGATGTCTCAATTAATCAATGGGGAGTAAACAGTTAAACTATGAAGGTTCAGACATTCACAAGGTCAGACTGGATCAAATTTTAAGTCAAATTTCTCTGAGCATATTGAAAACCTGTTTGTATGGGGAGTTAAATAGAATAAGTAGAAGTGAAAAAAAAACAAAAAACGCTGAAGTCAAACTAGATGCCACTGATTTTTTTAATTTTTTTTTTTACTTTTGTTAGCAGAGCAGTTTTGCTACCCACATAAAAACCAATAAACTGTTGTTTATTCCTGCAAATGTAACTTACTTCAGGAGTTGAGGACTGGCAAAAGCCAGAAGATCCTGCAGAAATCTGAGGAAGGCAGATTCAATCAGGAGCCATTTAAATGTCTTGTAGAGGGTGGTGACCAGCCATGAATTTGGATAATTTGTGTCTTCCTTCTTTTTTTTCTTCTTCTTATTTTCATCTTCTTTCTTTCCTGTTTCCTCCTGATTTAAAATATGTAAACATAATCTTTAGGACATAACAGCATATGGGGACCACCTGGAACAGAATCGGTGTTGCTGTCAAAAATAAAATTATTATTGGGGATTAAAGACCTGGACAGGTTGTGTGGTGTATTTAAAGGTTCTCACCATCATCAGTACATCCTGACTCACACCTTTCCCCAGACCATTGCTTTGAAAAGGTGCTTCCATAGATTTGCCTCGGTTTTTTATCAGTTTGTCCTTCAATTCTTTTTGAAATCGGATCCGAGCTTTACCCAACTCAAAATTCATGTGATGATTGAAACCCTGGCTGATATATGAGGTGCTGTCCACCTCGTTCAGGTCCCACATGTCCTCCTGAACCAGAGGGTTTTTGTAGCCTTTCACCACCATGCTGGAAAAGAAAGAAGAAACCTTAGATTATGCTACAAAAAAAAGGTTTGCTAGAGATTTTTGGTTGTGGTTGTGAAATTTACCCATTGAACCAGTTAAAAGTGATTCTGCTCAAAAATGTTGCACCAGCCTCTGGATTCTGTAACACAAACAACAAAGATGTAAATTGATGCTTAGGACATTAGATGAGGTTTGTTTTGTGGTATTGCAGTGTGACTTTGACTATTTCAAAATAAAATCAAAAAGAACAAAATTAACCTTTTTCACAAGCTCCTTTGACTCTGGAGAGATGTCAGCCAAAGCGGAGAGGATGAGTGCTATCACCTCCAGACCAAAGCAAACATAGAAAAGAGAGAAACGAGGGACATCTCTGACCTCTCCCTGGGTGTAAAGATGTTAAAGGGTAAGACAGATGTTGTATTTGATATTTAATTTAAATATAAACCCGTAGCTAATCTGTGGTTGCTCATACCAGCCTGAGAGCTTCCCGTAGGCGGGTCTGGAAAGGGAAATGTCACAGAGGACAAGGAGAAGCCAGAAAAGAAAAAGAGAAGCAGAGTCTACTGCCTTTTCTTTTCGTCTCACTCCTTCTTGACACAACAGCAGGAGAATCTGAAAACAAAATATATCAAATCACAAAGTAGACTGTAAAGATTGCTTCAATCTTAAATATTGGAGCAAATGTCGGAACATAAAACCTGAACTTTACCCATGTGACAGCGAAGAGGACTGGGTTTGTGTAGTATACAGCAGAATTTTTCTCTGCTGAGCTGTTTGGACCAAAATCTTCTACCAATGTGACAATCAGGCCTCCGATGGCCGTCAGAAACAACAGAAACACAACAAGCTCAGGAGGGAAGAGAAAGATGAGGTTGATTATTAAAATGCTTCCATCTCAGCACCACATACTGAAAGAATGAGAAGGTTTTAATAGTACAATACCTGTTTGCAGAGGTAGAGCTTAGTCCGACCTTTTGTATTTACTTGTGATCTTTTACATAAAGACATGAGGTTCCATGGAGCGCTTAGCCAGAGGAAGCCCAGAGGGATCCAGACCAGAACTGTCTGTTCCAGACATACTGGGAGGTCAGGGTCCTCTCTGTCCAAATAAGACCCATTCTGAAGTACAAACACAAATATGTACATGCATCATAGACATGCTACAGAACATTTTGCTGTTCACCTAAAGAGAAAAATGACAGCTATTTAGATCTTCACATAAAAAAAGAAGTTGAAATTTTTATTCACTTTTAACTTGTATTATTGTATTATTCACTGTAGGACGTTCAGTGACAATTACTTCAAATAGACGACATAGGAGGCAATCCTGCAAAAATAACAATAACATTCTGCTTTTTTATTTAAAAAACTTGACAAAAAAGTTTCATATGTTTTGGAGAAGAAATTTTGTTTCAATCAAATCTTAATAAATATCTATGTTTGTATTTATAGCACTACAAATCAGAAATGCTTGTTATGGTGGATATGTTGAGTCATGTCCTGGATGAGTTTCATTTCAGTCACATGTTTACCATGTGCACACAGTGGTCAAGTATAACCTCTGTTACACTTTGTACTAGTTAGCTTAACTAGTACAAGATAATCAGCTAGTACCTGGAATACTAGTTCACTCTTGTCAACTCTTAAGATAGGTGTCTTAAAAGTTGGAAACACTGACACCAAGCTGAAGACCCTGAACAAAATTTCACAATGTTTTATGCCTAATTAAATGTTTAAACATTTTAAAAAGGAGAAACTTGAAATAAAGAATCTGTAATTTTCATAATTATTATTGGGTTGTGTTTAAGAAGATAAACATTAGAGGTCGCAGACCAGATATGTTTACGCATCAAAGCCAATCACCAGACTCATCTTGAGACAGAAAAAGCTTAGCTACACTTTTAAAGAACATCAACAGTTAAACCCACCCAAAAGACTGACCCGCAGTACTCCTCCAGAAACGCAGCACACATTATCTGCTGTGTCGGCTTCACTCACGGGCGATGATTTGACGTCCAGACGCCTTGTGCCCTCTGCTCCACGGCAGACACGACTATTCCCCTCTGTCCACCCATGGTGCAAAGACAATTACAGGATGTGGCTGTTGGGGACTTTGATCCTGGATCCTTGAAGCATAAACAAAGTATCTGCAATTTCCTATGAAGAGAATATATAAGTTCAAAAATTACACTGAAAAACAGTAAAAACGAAAATTTGTGTTTAGAAAAAGTGGTGCAGGACATCTCTTTCTGATTCTGTTTACATTTCCTAGTCTTTCCGAGTCTAGAATAACATATTTCTCAAAAGTCAAATGTAATTAAATTCTCAACTGTCATGGTTAAATTGATGACAGCTCTGTTGAGACGTTTTTAAAGTCACTAATAAAATATCTGCAGCTCACAAAACAACGGTGAAAGCCAGGGGGTGGGATTGTTTGCATGAGCCTCCTACATTATCTATTTTTTTTTTTTTGTTTATTTTAACTTGAGCAACGCTAGGGTTGGACTTAGATCAACAGTGTAGCGTTTCTATTCTAGTAAAAGTGAGACAAATGAGATTAAACTTTCATTATTTGGGAGGAGAAGGCGAAAGAAGATTTTGTAATATGCAATGCAGAGTTCAAAGCACTCTAACAGTGTTAGTTTAAATTTTACTCATTTTGAATTACCAAAGGAAACTGTATAGACCTTTTTCACGCTTCCGGGTTTGAAAGCGGATGTGGGGTTGGACAACTTCCAGTGGCTATAGCGTTAGCATTAAAAGGCTAGGAAATGGCTCAGTCTCGGCGCAGTTGTCTTTGTTCAGTCCCTGGTTGTTCATGTGGGGCAAGAAAACAGCCTTATCTGTCATATCATGCGTTCCCGACGGACCTGGACCAATGGAGGCAGTGGATCCAGGCGATCCGAAGAGATGAAGGTCCGGACTTTTGCATAAAGACGGGGAGCACTTTCGTGTGCAGCCGCCACTTCACACCGGAGGATTTTGTTAGCGGATCCACCACCAGCCGCCTTAAAAGTGGAGCTGTTCCTTCCCTGTTTGCCTGGAATAACTTCACTGCACCGGCAATGAGAGAGTCTGCTTTCGAGAGGGCTAAGAAACGGCAGTTTGTCTTTTCTCAGAAATGCTGCTGTGGACCAGGACTACACGGCACATCCACCCGCAGGTAAAAGATAGTATATTGTATATATTTTACATGTAAGAGAATTTCAGTAAAATATAAATGTTGCTATAATTATATTATTATTGTTATTATTATTATTATTATTATTATGATCACACAATAATGAAATTGAGATTATGTGGTTATATATTTTGTATTTCAATGGCTGTATACATACATGCTCCAACTCACAACATGTATTGATCTTCACAGAAGTAATGTTTCAAATATATAATTAAAACTTATTGCTAACCGTATGTTTTGCTATTTTATTTTGTGGTTTTACAGGTGCACTTGATGAAGCTCTGGATTATATTAAAGAGTTGGAGGCCAAACTTCAAAAAGTGGATTTTTCTGCCACACTTTTTGGCCGCTTCTGTGCCTCTGATGACCAGATCCGGTTCTACACCAAATTTCCATCTGAATGTGTGTTCCGGATCTTCTTGGAGTCCATTGCACTCTCTGCATCAGGCCTGGTGTTCTGGACCAGAGCACAGAAACTTGGAGAGGAAGCATGTGCTGAAGCCAGCCTGAATTTTCTTAAACCTTTTTAGTAATTGAAATAAAGAACTGAACACTACTACATTGTATTATAACTAACTATGGTTGAAATATAATTTATTTATTATTGGATTTATTTAATTGCCCTAATGTCCAATAAATCAATAAATTAAAAATGCTCTGACAAGACCATTTATTAAAAATTGATTATATATGCCCATATTTCTGTATTAAAAATAGTAATATTGATTTAATAGATGTTAGCAAAAATATAACAAAGGCTTTAAAACATCAGTCTGTAATTAGTCTATATAATGTTTTTAGTAAATTGAGCTGCTGAAAATTTTAAAAAATCTAAATTATTGAACATGAATGTATGTTCTGAACATTTTATTTCTGTAAATAGATTAGATGTTTTTATTCTGCAAGATGGCATTTGCTATCATAAATATCAGGCTGAGTTAATGAATGCTGATGACCTTGGTAATTCATATGCTAACAGACATATCCAAATAATGGTAAGTGTATTTGAGTTTGTCATCACAATTTTGATCTTGTGGGGAAAATAAAAAACAAATTTTTAAAATCATTGCACTTACATTTGCAATCCACCTTGAAAAAAAAAGTCCAGATAAACAACTAAAAGCCCCATATTTATGATTTTCATGTCCCTGCTAGTGAGCTGTAAAACTCTGACCCCCAAGATAATTGAAAATAAATGTGCAGAAAATTGGAACTGTTTTGGACTGCAAAACAGTGTAATAAACCAAAAGCACGTTGCATTTAGATTTAGAACAGCAGCATTCAATAATAATTATAAATAATAGTAATCTATATGCCTTCCTTTGTTAGTTTTACTTTGACGTGTAATTGGCAACATGCAATTTGACATAAATTGATACGTATTGCTACAAATGAAATCTGCACAACAATCTGTGATGGGACATTTGACCTGAAGCTCCAATTTGTGATCATAGCAGCAATGGCAATTCAAAAAATCTTGTTTGAAGAGCAAACACATCTCAATACTTTCAATTTTTCAAACACAAGCTGAAAACACAAACTCCTCTCTTGTCCTGGCGTTCTGACAGCTTCTTCCTTATGATGGTGGAGCTGCTGGCAAACCTGTGAACAAGTTTTTTAAATTGATTTTTTTTGGTCAGACATCTTATGGGGGTGAAATTCTGAGTGGTGGTAGAAGATGAACTACTGACATCACTTAATGCTTTACAGATGCATGTAATATGTTGTTCAGGATGTTTCTTGTTAATTGTTACACCGCATATGATTAACACACTTGATTTCTTTGGAAGCAAGAAAAATGACTAAAACAGTATAGAATCAAACACTTATTTCCCAGATTAACATGTTTCTACCCAAAAATACAATGAGATACATTCAGTGTCAAAGATAGAAACACTGGGTTATGTCCCATGAGATGCCAGCTGCAGACGTGCCAAAAGTGTTCAGACCTTGTGAACCAGTTTGGATAATGTCTAAAGATGTTGCCCTTTCTGTCTTAAAATTATTTTTTTTTATTTTTATCATTTTTTTTTTTTTTTTTTGGTGAGTAAAATTACCAACATTGTTGTGTTTAACTAAATTTAGAAATAATATGGTCATTCTCTTGCTGCACAGCTGAGGTGAGAAGCCAACTGTTCTGCAGTGGGAACTTCCTGTGGTCCTCATGGACAGTGTGGTAGGACCCTCAAAGGTGAAACTACGCAGAATTACTGCTGAAATCCGAGAAGAAAAAAGCAAGAATTTGCAAAGCAATTCATCTAAAGGTAAATAGCTTGATGACTTAACATGTACTGATTTCATAAATAGTGCCAGTGAAGAAAATAAAAAGTCTCTGAAATGAGTTTGCAATATTTTCTCCTAAGTCTTCATTTTCACCCTGTAATTCAGGTTTAAGTTGCAATTAAAAGCCTTGTTCACTAACCAGTAAAGAGAGCTTTTAATTGCCCTCCTGCCAGTTGTGTAACTTGAAGATGTTGTATTTTCTTTAATGCAAAAAGTTGCTTTTACTGTCTTGACAAAGAAAGATTCAAAGGATTGATGCAAATGAAACAAACAAAGTATAAAATTTAAAACATCTTTATATCAACTCCAGCCAAAATACAAAGTTCTTAACAAAGATGTCTTGGGGTTACCACAAATAAAGCAGGTATTTATTTTTAATATACAAAACCCACATTTTTAAATAGCAACTGCAAAGAATAAACAATTTCAAGTCTGACATTGGGTGGGCAGCAATATATTTTCGAAATCAATTACCTTAAATATCAATAAAAACATAGTGGAACTGGTTTTGCATCTACAAGTGATTTATGCCCTTAAAGAAATAGAGCCTGGTAAAAATGAAATAACACTGTCCTAAAATGTGTTGCTGTTAACAAAACCATTGCAAATATTACTGTAGAAATAAGCAGGCTTCACATTCTGAAAACTCACCCAACAATCAGAGGAAATGAAATTAAAAATGCTTGTGAATATAAATTATTACTGTTCAAATAAAAACCAATATAGCATGAAATTACATTTATTCTTTTTTTTCTTCAGAGAAGTTGAAATTATCTCAAATTTGTTTTGTGTTTTTTTTCCCCCTCTAGGAAGTGTTCTCTGAAGATTTGGTGTTTAAATAAAAGATGGGGTGGTTTGCATGGTTTTCTGAAACTCATTAAAAAGAACGGTAGGTGTTGAGAAACACAGCAATGACACCTGACCACAAGCAAAAACAATACAAAACGTATGACACACGAACAGCACAACCATTTCTTTGAATAAACAATGCAGATCTTTACATCTAATGAAGCTATAATAACAATTTTCTGTTAATGCTTTGGGGGAAAATGCCAGGGAACTCCCAAAATCCGATCAGAAGAACTTGCAGCCAGAGCAAGAGGCGCACAACACCACATCCTAATTGCTTCTTGAAGCAAATAAGATCAATTGCATCTCCACGAAGAGAACTTTTCACATTTAACAACACATTCATTTACAATTCATTTCATAAATAAGGCACCTGGTTCACAACGTCACATATTCACAATGTTGTGATTGGAAGACTGGCTGGAGACACAAACCGCCAACTTACCCATACGTGAAACTTTGATTCAAAGCTTCCTGCCGCTCAAAGAAATTAATGCAGAACATGCCATCATCTAAAACTATAAATATATACAAAAATGAAAAGACATAGAAGCACAGGAGTAAGGATGAATTCCATATAAGCTAGATGCTAATGATCTGACCTTCTAAAATGGAGGTTTGTCAGACATTTGTTATCTCCAGCCATTTTCATAGAGTGCAGAAACACAAAGTAACTACATTTGTCAGACATCTTTCAGGACTTATCTGTAGTTCCAGAACACAGAAAAAAAAAAGTTCAGAAATTACAGCTCCATACTTGCGTTTTTACCATCAAGCTTTACAAAAGCATGAACAAAAAAAGAGGAGGAGAACTATCCCTGGGAGTTTGGCAAGTACAAAATAGATAGGTAGTAAAAAAAAAGGTCCATTTTGGGGCGCAGGGTCTCTTGGAGTTCCTGGGCTCTCTTGGTGACAACCTTAGTTCCACTGCGCGGCAGTGACGATGCCTGACTCCTCTTCAAAGCTCCACTTCTTGTTAGCTTAGGTTCATCTACTTCAGTGGCAGCTTTAGGAGATTCTGCCAGTGATGCCTTCTTGGCCCTCTTTGAAGGATTGCCAAGACTCTCACTCAGAGGGGTCGCTGCCTCCATTTTTCTCTGGGACCTTGTTTGTACCTGGTCAGATGAGCCCGAAGCCTTTACGTCAACGCCCTGCTGTGGCGTTTCAGCAGCAATTTCTTTACCTTTGCTTTCCACAATTGTGCTGTGAGCAGATTCTTTAGTTTGAGGTTTTTTCTTATTTACTTCACGTTCTGCTTCGTTCATTTTTTTGCTGCTGATCTTGCTCTTTGATGTATCCACAGGCTGATACTCAGGTACTTTAGGAGACCCAAGTCGTTGCGAGCATCTCTTTGGTAGTTTTGTCTTGCTTTTGTCTTTTGAAGCTTTGTTGGCCTGAGTCTTCACAGCCCTTTTTGGAAGAGAAGGTTTTGCTGCCTTATTCCCAGTCAAAATCTTCCTTCTTGCCAGTTTTGCAGCAGACGCTTTGATTTTTTTGCTAACAGGTACAGTAGATTTTTTCACCTTTAAATGTGGGTTTAGATTTGATTTAGCGGATGACTTAGTAACAACCACCGATTTCTTGTTTTTTAGCATTTTTGAACTCCTTTTCATTCTAACTGTGCTTTGCTGACTTTGCATCTTCCCTCGAATATTGGAGTATTTTCTCAGGATTCTTGCACTAGCTGGATTCTTAGATTTTCCAGAAGGTTTTTGTGATTCACCTTTTTGGGCACTGGCTTTGGCAGCAGAGTATTTACTCAAATTTTGAGTACCGCTAGGAAGTTCTGCCCTCTTGACTGTGTTTGCCTCTTGTTCAAGAGCTTTAGCAATAAGTTTCTGATTTCTGGGATTACTTTTCACAGGAGAAGCAATGGGAAACTTCTTCAAATGTTTCTTTAAGCGTTCTGCTTGAAGGCTTGGAAATGCATCCTGTGCGGACCCTGACCCAGTAGATGAGCTGTGGAAGCACAGCTGAGTTTCGGATGGAAGACGTGTATTCACCTTCTTGACAATAACAAGGGACTTGGTTTCTGTTGAATCAAGGAACCAGCGACAGATGCTGGTGAGACTGAAACCTTTCATAAAAAGCATTTGGACAGGCGAGTATTTCTGCTGCTCTGAAGACTTTGGTTTTCGTGCCCTCCGTTTACTCTTCCATATAGCTGCCTGTCTGTCTGATTTGTTTTTGTATTTTGCTGTTGGCTGACCCTCTTTGTCCATTTGCACCCAACCCTTTAGCATTTTATCATATTTAGTATTCAAGTTTGTAATTAAGTGTTGGTTCTCTTCACCACTAAGAGCCTGAAAGAATTTGTTGACAGTTTGTTTAGGGGGTTCTTGTTTTGGGGCAATGGCAGGGGTTTGGGCCCTGTGGGTCAACGGTGCAACAGTCCCAGAGGTGGGTTTCAGCTGCACTTTGGCTGTTCTCTCTGGGATTATTCGAACAGGGGAGACTATATCATTTTGCTTTGCAGTGTCAGCAGCACTGGTGGAATTTGGGGTAGATCTTTGTGATCTCAAGACTAATTTCTTGTTATCTGGTGGCGGTGACTGAGAAACAGCCTCATCAGACATTTCACCCTTACTGGTCTCACTTCTTAATGGAATTCTCCTGGGTCTCTCTGACATGGAAGCATCCTTATCTTCACTTGCTAGCCTGTCCTCTACAAGAATTACATTTTGCTTTTGGATTAAGTCAGATTCACCTACATCTGAGTTCTTCCGAAGCCCACGTTTGTTACTTGTTGGCACAAACTCGGTCTGATTTTCAGTCTTTACGGGGGATGACTTTTCTAAAGAATTTGATTCCTCAGTACTAAGCTCTTGTTCAAGAGCTTTAGCAATAAGTTTCTGATTTCTAGGATTACTTTTCACAGGAGAAGCAATGGGAAACTTTTTCAAATGTTTCTTTAAGCATTCAGCTTGAAGGCTTGGAAATGCATCCTGTGCGGACCCTGACCCAGTAGATGAGAAACAACTAAGGTGTTGTTTCTCATTTTTACTGTGATCTGAAACAACTTTACCTGATCTTAAAGTTTGTTTAGTCTCAGATTCACTCACAAGTGTATTTTTTGGGGTTTCTTCGGAAATGATCTTAATTGGCTCTGTGTTTTTAGTGGTTGGTTGCATAGTCTCAGAGACCTTATGCTGTTGGGAGCCTTCAGAAAGTGAGGAGTCAGAATGCTTGTTAAGAGAGGATATTGTTAGAGGTAATGGAAAAGGGGGGATGCGGAGGGAAGGTAGCTGTTCTGCAGGTGGAAGAATAAGAGTTGAAGGCTTCAGGGAGGAAATGGAGGTGATAATACTTGAAGTAGAAGCTGAATTTTGACTGGCTGATCTCAGTTGGCGTTTCGATAACGTACTTTCAATCTGATCAGCAGGCTGATCGGAAGGCACAGGTATCCTGTGCTGATTTCTCGGAGAACTTTTTTGTTTTGGGGTTTCTTTAGTCTTTGAAGGCAATTTAGATGTTTCACTTGAGGGCAGGTCAGAGGACGGTTCCATAACTTGTTGAATCATAGCAGTCTCTAATGTATTTGTTTCTAGTTGAGGTTCTTCTAGTTTTTTGTTCTCAACAGCTGACGTAGGTGTAGGATCTGAAATACTACAGATGAGTAGATTCTGACAAGATTTTATTGCCGTTTTACTTGAGGGTGTGGGGTTCCTATCAGCTCTTTGGCGCAGACTCCTGTCTGAAGCTGAAACTGGTTTTCCATTGACAAAGCCAACTATGACTGGTTCTGTCTGTCTCCACTGATCTGACAGCTGAGCTTTAGTGTCTTTTTTTCTATGCCAAGGTGGCAACTCCTTTGGCAGTTCATCAACTGGCTTTGCAGACTCGTTGCACTCCGCTTTATTATTTGTTGTCTCTACAGGTTCCACACAGTTCTTGGTTTCTGACATTTCAGTTTCTATCCTTCTTACAGTCAGTTCCTCTGCTGTACATGTAGAAACTGACATTTCTGTCCTTTCAACATTATCACAACGCGACTCCATCTGAGATTGAATCTCCTGACTTTGATCCTCTTGCGTTTTTTCCTTTTCATCTTTCTTTATCTCTTCCTCCACTAGATTTACTGTAACAGAATTATTCTGAATATCAGTCTCACAACTGAGAAGTTTAGCTGATGAAAGCTGGTGCTCTGCCTCTCCTGTGGTGACACTCTCTAATGAGTCTACTTGTGTCTCTGTAACTGTTTGCTCTGTATTGTCCAGTACAACCTGTTGAGACTCTGGCTCGTTATTGGTTGTTGATTCATGTGAAGGCGGACCAACACTTTCTCCAATTTCTTTTGCCATCCCTAGATCGTTCATTGTCTCTTGATCCGTTAAAGTGGCTGGAAGAGTTTCTTGGCTCTCTACTAGAAGGTTCATAAAAGGTGTTGAACTAGACTGGACCTTATTCTGGCCCTGATCGGTTTGACTCATTTCAACCTCCACAGCATCTACTTTACTAGCGGCTACCTCGACAACATCTCCTGCTCCTGAAATGACATGCTCATTCGATTCATCTGAGGGAATTTGTTGATTCACTGTCTCTGAGAAAGTTCCAGCAAAGGGCATATCTACAGGTGGTAGACCTTCAGGTTTGGCCAGAATTTGTTTCGGCGTGACCAATGTAGTCATCTCTAGCATTGGGTTTGGACAGTTGCCCCTTCCGGCTAATGTGCGAACTGTTTTTAACTCCCAAATGTCATCCGAATACATATGCCCCCTCGTACTTTTTCTGGCATTACGGCGAGGGGCCATGCCGCGGCGCTTTTCCTTTAAACAATCTGTAATTGGTTTGTCAATATAAACAATGTCACAGTTGCCGATATCAGGGTCAACCATTTCCCTACCGGGATTGTCCCTGACCTGATGTTCAGAGGACACCCTGACAGTCTTTCTTGCTGTTCGAACAGAATTTGAGGGAAAGGACACATGGATTGGAAACACTTTTGCTGTCTTATCTTTCTCATGTTCAAGAACCTCTTTCTGACTATCTTGAGGAGTGACATTCAATTGACTGTGTCTTTTCACAGAGGAGCTAAGTCTGGCACTTTGTGTCTCTGTTCTATTGGATGAAACCCTTTTCTCTTCGAGAAAATGGAAGGGAGAAGAAAGAGGATTATCGAGCACACATGACAGCTTCTTACCAGCAGCAGCACTGCTGGTTTTGATCTTCATTCGAACAGGTGGCTGATCGCTCTGACGATTGTTCTCTCCATCCACTGAACTGGGGGTGGAACTGACCCGTGGTTGGTTACTCCCGAAACCAAGACTAAAAACATCCAAAGGCGGGCCTGGGGTTATAGATGTTTTCAAGGACACCGCATCCTCTGGAATATTCTTTTGTGAATCGCTGTTTGGGACAGAATTGGGGAATTCCAGGACTTCAGCTTTAGGAGTAGATTCATTGGGAAGTTTTAGCTCAGGACGTGATTTCTCTGGGATTGTACTGCTAGAGTTTGAATTCAGACATGCTTTCCCTCGAACACCAGAGGTAGAGTCAGATGTTTTTTGTACATTAGAGGATGCATGAGCCTTGACTTCCGTTTGAAGAAAACCTATTGCATCTACTATCCGTCTCTGGTGGTGAGGACACAGTTTTGCCATAAATTGTTCCAACGTGGAGGTGGACTGCAGGTCTTTTGCTTTTGAAGAACGGTAGTCTGGAGACTCACTACGGAGACAAAAAAAAAACAAAAATTAGCATTAATAATGTTTGATACACCAGTAATTATGGATGTGGATACAAAATTAAGTGCTTTCAAACAAGTGCAAAAGAAGAATACTAATATCAGATTTTATATGTTGCATATTTATTAGAAGAATAAGCAAATCTAAAACTGAATCATTCATCCAGTGAACTTGACCAATCACATTTTTTAGTGTTTACATTAAACATACATGTATATGTGTAAAAATAATACATGCACAAGACAGTGGGGGTAGTCCAGTTTGATATAGGTCAAACACATTTTTCATTGGTAACAAGTACATATGGGGCAGTTCAGTACATCAGATTTCATATCGAGCTTATTTAAAAAACATATCACATCTGGATTGCTGAGACATGTCATAAAAATGTAGTAGCATATGTCATATGTCAGAAGAAAGTCTGGCCACATGTGCTACGTATGCTAGTGATGTGGTAGATAAGACTACCACATCACTGGTAGTCACTTTTTTGGGGAAACAAAAAACACTTGGATTATATCTTTTTTAACATTATACTTCAAGGAAAAAAACATTTGAATAAATAGAGTTCTGTTTGGAACACAGTTAAATTATGTTGGCTCTTATATACAAAAAATGGACCAAAGCAATATTGTTAATGTTAGTTTCGAGCAAGAATACAATCTCTTTTGTTATGCATGGCGAAAAAACATTGAATTTATTAAAAAAGTAAAACACACAAAGATTTTGCATGTAGCCATTTTTCAAGCACAGACCAAAACAAAAAGGCCAACATTCACCCACTATAATTTAAAAACTGAAAACCAACACTCAAGTAGTAAATGTACTACATCTTGGCAAAAATGCTGATGTACCTGTTGGTGTTATGAATAAATTTTAGAAATAAATTTTAGATTTAAAAAAAGGCTTTCTTGCAACTAGAGCCCATCATATTTTTAAAGGTAGTGTTTATTAACTTCACATCTCTGCTTGCAAAGTTTAAGGTTTAAAGTGGAGTATCTGAATAACAAATAAGAAAAGTGTTGTCCCTGAGGGTATCATTCAGCATTGCCATGAGGAATGGACACCAAGTAGTCATTATTCTTCCACTAAAACAACATATCCAATTTTACAAAACAGGCAAATTCATCCACATGGCTGATATAGTACTGGAATATACCGAATCTATACATCAGAAATCACAAATCTTAGACAATTTTTGTATGCAGTTATATTCAATAGATCAGAATATTTGTTTCTTTGAGGGCCGTTAGTCATAGTAAAGTTTGAAGCACACCTTGAAAACAACCTTTAAGCAGGAATTAATATGTATTTTACTAACCCACACTTTTGTTTTGAAATGTTTTCAATGGTCTTGATTTAATATTATAATATTAACCGCTTTCAATGCCTGTGCCAAATCATAAATAAAATTAAAAGGATTGAAAACAACAGTTTGTGTGTAATTAACCCTTATAATCTATTTCACTGGATGAATTTAGTAACTAAATACCTGAACTTCTGTAATGATATTCAATATTTAAACATTAATAATTTTTCTTTTAAGATGACAGTACTCTGAAATTCAACTTTGTTGAGACTTTGAACTGGTTTACTTCCAATCTAAAGTTACAATAATTTCTACTTTTTTACTTTTACATCAAATCACACAAAGGTTGAGCATTTCTTAATATGAAAGCAACTCCAGGACAATTTACACAAGATGCAATAAATCTTCTAAAACACACAATTTAGCCCAATCATGCAAAAATACTGGTGTGATTCTTTATATTCTTCAAATGCTAAAGCAAAGACACCAATGCTGTTCAGTGATTTTGAGAGCCACATTATCAGTAAGAGCCTTTGGTTGTCATGTATGTACTAAGTAAAGTTAAGCAAAATTTACAAGATATACACTTATGTATACCAACTTTTATGTGTAGTAATATTTTTTTCTTTATATAGATATTTACAATCTTTGTTACGTGGCTATAAGCATACTGAAAACAATGTATTAATATCAGAAAAGATGCATGGACAAAATATATTATTAGCTGGAGGAAAACTTGAGGAAGAAGTGAAGTTTTGAATCACAAGAAAAAAAAAAACATTTTACACCCTCAGTAGAAGACACCAATGTCAGTGTAATAGACAATTTGTAGATCACAGTGCATTAACAAACTCTAGAATATGTACATACTACTACATTTTTATGTATCTTACGTGTTAAATTACACAGCTGTTTTCATTCTGTGAAAGTATCTTACAGTATTCAGTGTGTTATATGCATTGGAAAATGCGAAAAATATAATAACAGTAAAGTCCTATTATGTTCCTGTGAGGTAGTTGGTTATTAACACTGTTACAGAGAGTGAATAACACAAAACAGTGAATCAAAATGTGAATCAAATTTAAAAATAACTAAGATTACAATAGAAACTATCAGTGTTTTCAAAGTTGCACTGGATGATTGTCTATAAAAAACTGAAAACTTCACACACCAAAAATCAACTGCACTGTTTTGTGTTACGTAAAACAATAGCTTAAGAATTTTTGTGTTTTGCCTTCCCCCACCAATAAATACCTGAGAAAAAAAATTATTAACACTTGATAACTGAAAATCATTTGAAGATGAACACCTGCTCCAAAGACTGGTCAAAAAGACAACATGAAGCAACCTATGATAAACTGGTAGGCTTACTCGCCATCTATTGTTACTGTGCTGAAATACCAAAGGATTATATCCCTGAACATGTTTTACTCTGAAATTGCCTGTTTTTTTTAAATCTAAATATTTTCATACATCATAAGAGTGTAGTGAAAATAACGTTTTATTGAAGACATCGACTATTAACAGTATCAACAGTATCTGTCTGAAAGGCAGCGAGTATTGCAATAGCTTCAATAGCAATATTTGCTGGAGTTGTGTTAACCTGATAAAAGAATAATGGGCCATGACTCCATTACTCCAGAACGTCCTGAGATAAAAGTGATGGTGCAACCTTGATGTGAACAATTGGATGTGGCCAACTCAAGAAAAAAAGAAAAAACAGGCAAAAAGTTTTGTCAAATTGGCAAAAATTTCCTCAATAAACATTTTCTCCTGATACTTATTCCTTATTAGTGTTATGTCAATTTTGTTGACATCACTGGAGTATCTCAAAGTGTCCAACGATAAGACTGCCTGGAGACTAATTATTATCATTATTATTATTATTTTAAGATATAGACTAGTTTTGGTACTATACAAATAATGTTTAATAAGAATATAAGGAAGTAGGTGCCACAAGACATAACTGAATAAAGGAAAGAGTTACTCAAGGAAAGAAGGTTATCACTGCAGGGTGTAAATGGATACCCAGGCATGTAGGTATCCATTTACACCTGCAGTGCTTGTAAAGTATTGATACCCCTTAAACTTTTTCGTATTTTTTCCAACGTAAAATACAAACTTAAATTAATTTTGTCATGAATTAAAGTCTGACAACTAGCTTTCACTGGGATTCTTTCACTCTGACACTCTTGATATCTATTGATTGATTAAAGAAAGCAGCATTTTGATCAAATAGTATCTTATTGGTGCAAAAACTAATCGTACTGAGAACTGATGACTTGAACTCCTGTGCTACTGGTTTGTAAAGCTATGACCAACAAACCTGTCTGGGAGAGAAGCTTGTTTCAGGCAAAAATTAAACAAATCACACTAGCTGTCGTTTTGTAATAATCGTACATAAATACACTATGAGAAAGAAATTTTCTTTGACTAAGAGTTAGTTAACTTCTCAATATGAACTACACTTCAATGCAGTGAAGCCATATAAAAGAAACAGTATAAATTACACATGCTTGAATATCATGCTTGGAAATGTATATTAGACTGGGATAGAAAGGGGATTAAAATGCAAAACAGTCTTGCTAGAATACAATAATCATAAATAAATATTTTGATTTTTAATGGATAAATTCCTAATTACGTCATGTTATGACATATAGATTGAATTTAAAATCAAATGTTTCCATAAATAATTTGTAAGTTAAATTAAGCTTTATAGTTCTGTAGAATTACAGCAAACTTACTTTGAAGATTTGAAAAGTTCTTAAAGGAAACACACAGGGGCGCCAGATATCTAGTCTTCTTATTTGTTGTGTGTAACAACTCATTGTAGTCTACAGTGACCACTTATCTTTTGATAACTTCTTAATGTAATAACATACAAGTGAATAAATTAGATCTGCATTTTACTGAAAATCTACTTCTACTGCAAGGATACACTTACATACTTGAATATCATAAGTACATATAATCAGGACTAGAGATAAAATAAATAAGTTCATAACAAATAAAGTTATTGAGGTTTTGTGGAAAACCAAGTCAACTGCTGCACAATGCAGCAGGTGCACTGATTAATAAAAAAGCCCATCACTGTTAGTTGTTTTCAGAAAAAAACTCACTCATTGGACATTATTAAAAGCATTTTCAGTTTCTTGCGGTGGCTTCTCTCTATCCTGGGAGAGGATGTTGACGGTGCCCTGAGTCTCATCAGTAGACAGTGAAAGACCCTCCTCCTCCACATTAGTGGTCAATTTCAGTTTCTTTTTGGGGGGATGTTTTAAGGTTCCTAGACGCTCTTTAACCTTGTATTCCAGGGTACTGTGTGGAATCCCATAGACAGACTGGGCTTTGGACACGCTCATTTTCCCAGCCATCACCACCACAATAGCTTCTTCGAGAAGCTCGGTGTTGTATTGCCGATATCGCCCTCGCTTCTTCCTGGGGAACCTGTTTCCTGGGTCTGTTTCTGAGTCCGCAGAACAATTCCCTGCAAAGGCTGGGTGGTCAGTGGGAAAAGACCAATATTCCTTCTCTGACCCTGGGCTGTTAGATCCCACACTGCTCCTTTTCCGGATCTGTCTGGGAAGTATAGAGCAAAGCTTCTTTCCAACAACATTTTTACTGACTACATCTGAATATTCAGAAGGCATATTATCCCAAGAAGGCTTTGCTCCTGTAGTTACAACTCGCACATGAGGAATCTTGATGTCAAAAGATGGTGAGCAGGATGGGGAATGCTCTTGACTTTTGTTTGCCTCCTTAATGTACGCTTTCTCAAAAGAAAATGACTTTGACAAAAGTCCAGCAGCTTCCAAAAGTTGTGGTATATCTTTAAAGTGCTCTTTAGCATCATCACTGGTTTTAAGTTTCAGTAGGGCTCCAAAATTGGTTTTGCAATTCCAGGAAGAAGTAGCATTTCTTCCTGGAAGCTCAGTGTAGTTGCACCCAGGCGATTGGCTAAGTGGTGACTTGGGGTCGCTCTCCAGTTTGGGCTCCTTTTTGATGTGCAGCGAGTATGCAAGAGATGAGGTAGGCTTAAAACAGGCGGAATGGCCGATATTCTCCCTCCTCCTCCCATTCTGTAGGTTCTTCATAAACAGCCCGACTTGTCCGTCCGCTCTCAACGACGGCCTGATTGGATGGAAGGAGATTGGATGTAAGCAGAGCTTGCACAGTGCCCTTTTATCTTTCTAAAGGTGGATGGGTTGTGAGGGGGAGGATGTTGGCCACTCCTTTATTATATGACATTGTTTAGGTAACATTATTGTTAGTCACTCTCCACAATAACTTTACATTTCAGAATAAAAACGGCTCTGGTTTCACAATTTTTATTTATTTATTTTTGAGGAAAACTTTACAAATTTTGAAGGAACATGATGAAGAAATAAAAGCAAAGCAAAAAAAAAAAAAAAAAAAGGGAAAATAAAAGCAAAACTAAAATTGAAGCAAAATAAAGCATTGAAACTGCAAATTTTTCTTGCAAATCATTCATGTGGTTCAAAATGCAGAACCAAAAAACAGATTATTCTTCGAATAAGGGAACTGTGATTTCACACAGGGCACTGTATTTATGACATGATAGAGAGAAAGATGTTGAGATTTTAAATGCGACATTACCATGGAGCAAGTGCAGCAATAAAAGGAGCATGCCAGGAGAGGATTATTGTGTTGATCAAACTCAGAAAATTAACAACTTGTTAACAGTGGTTGTCAACTCTTTGACTTGAATCCTGACTAAGTGAAGGTTAAGCTTTATCATTGGGCACTTCATCATATTACTATTCGGTCTTTTAAATGAAATCAACATCTTTTTGCAACAACCCATTTCAGTGCCCTTTTTTAAATTACCAATTAGGTAATAAAATGAATAAATGGACGAATCAAAGGACTAGTCCTAAAACTTGTAATAGTGATTGCATATTTTCAGTCCTAAAGGCAGGAGTTCTTCATTTTTGTGCATTCAATGAAAAGGAAAGACAACTCTCTTGATATGCAACTTGCTGATTCCTGAGGAGAACACATCACTGGAAAAATGTAGCTGCTTGGATGCTATTTTGTCCTTCTGAGGTACAATATTCACAAACGTATGATTCAGAAATGGATGCAAGCTACATGTTGTGTAACTAGAAAGGTCATTAAGCTCTCAAGGCAACCTACTGTGAGAGTTCAAAGAAACTAATGCTTAAATAAACCAAATATTTAATTTGATTAAAAAGGCACATTCAAGTCTGGGTGAGTAAAAAGACTCAAAAGATTAAAATCCAAACAAATCCCAACTAATAATAATTAGTATTAAAAATGAAAACATATCAAAAATAAAACAAAACCAAGTTATGGCTGTAAGTAAAAATGAAGTCAAATCAATAGATGTCATTCTTTCATATAAAAGCATGTAGTGAAATAAAATAGTCTACACCGTCCATTTCAGTTCAACTCAGTAATACATTTATGTGATATTGAATATAAACTGACCACCCCAAATTCTAAATGAACTCACTAAAAGGAATCAGCTCAGTTTAAAAGATCTGTTACACTACAAGACAACACTGTGTTGATTCTATTGCAGAACCTGTTAAATCCTAAAATTACATTTTCACATGATTTTCTGAGTCAGCATTTTTGTGAGTTTGTCTTTTTTTTACTACATGTCCCATAGTATGCAATAATAATATCAGCCCTGCCAGAATTTTGGGAAAAAATGGTGATTATAAACAAAACTATAGCCAAAACTTGGCTAACTATAGTTTTGCAGTGAAAACTATAATTAGTCAAGTTGCTTGTAGTTAGCAAATTGGCTAACTATAAACTTAACCAAATTGCTAACTTGGCAACTTTGCAAGTTCCATCTTTAAAGTTGCAACTTTAAAAGTAATTTGCTAAGTATTAAATTAGAGATAGCTCCAGAGATTTTTAATACAGAACAGGATTTGAAAACTTTTTGAAAGTTTAGTAGAATTAATACAATTACAAACTATATTCTACTGGAAATTAAAGAGTGAGCTTCCCTTTTGTTCACAAAGGTATTTTTTCTCTTATGTAAAAATATCCATATCAGATATATTTTACTGTAAGTAAAAGTAAAGATGAAGAATATCTGATCCAGATATCTTAGCATGAGAGAAAAATGCTTTTTGTGAACAGACTAATTTTTGTGATGATTTTTGTCAAATCACCTCAGCACTTTGATGCCAACACATTAAACTACAGAATTTAGTCCTTTTTTGTTGTGCTTCACAATAAGAAAAAATATCAACACAATCTGTGCCAATAGAAACAAAAGAGGAAGAAAAGATTCTTACCACTTCAGCGAGACTGTAGCTGGGGAAAAGCAGACACTGCGGGAAGATATGTTGCTGTTGCTGCTGCAGCGATTCTTTTTGATAGACAAGTCAAGAACTCCATCTATCAAAACACACACACACATAGTTCTTGAGATCCTTGCAGACTTCACCATCGTCAGCATACTAGTAAAATTTTACCAATCTATTTCAAACTACCTTGTTCGTGGGGCTCTGCCGCAGGCTTCTTGATGGTGAGGTCTAAAGGAGCATCCTGGTCAGCCATCAGAAGCTTGCTCAAGACTGGGTTCTGGTTTTGTGCTGCTCCAACCAGGGTGTTAGCAGGGCTGGTTGAAGTAGTCCCTGACAGAAGGAGTGGGGCCACCCGGCTTTGGTCAGAGTGAGGCGGGGAGTCCGAGCGACTGTCCTGAGGAGAGCTGGTTTTTGAGGTATATTCGGCTGCAAATTGGCTGATCATTCTCTGAAGAATTTCTCGAGCCACTACTGGAATGTGTGGGTCTGAGAAATTTGGCACATCTGAAACACAGAGGTGAAAATTGTTTAGTGTGTATTCCTTCTCAATCTTGATCAGTAAAGATGACAGAAACAACGCAACATTTAAATAACATTCATCTTGTTTAAGTTTAGTGTGATCCCAACTGAAAAGTATTCAAGACAGTAACAATGTTACCAACCTGCAGAAATACCTTTTCTGCAAAGAATTGCATTGAGAAACTCCTCAGCCTTTTTCTCTAGTCTGATGATTCTGATCTGATCTTTAACTAGGAGAGGTTTAGGTGCATCTTCAAGATGACTCTTGTTGAAGCCAAATAGGTGTTCCTGTTAAATAAAAGAGATATGTTCATAGAGTAGGCTTTAGAATTCAACATACACAAAACAGGGGCCTTTAACACTAGGTAGAGGATTTTAACAAAACATGGATTACAGAGAATGTTCTCCTTGATAACTATACAAAAATTCAGTTTGAAGTTTTTCAGATGTGCACAAATATTTGCAGTGTAATGTTAGGCACACATCTGTTGAATAGGCACCAAAAGTAAAAAAGAATTGTGTAGTATGGTGACAAGAGTGATTACTTTCAGTTTGACCATCAAATTTTGTTATGATCCATGAATTCACGATACCCAACCACTACTAGGTGGTCGTATCAACAGCACTTTGGAAGAAGAAAACTTTGAGTTAACTACGTCACACTCATTTTTCAATTCCTTATTACTCCATAAAGTTCATAGTAATTTTTAACAAGCCCTGCAGGGGAATAATATTGGTAGTTTAACTTAAATCTCTTATTTTAGGTCAGTAGGTTGAAGTTTATTGTAGCATGTAACAAAAACGTAAGGCCTTCCCTACTGTCCTAGAAGGACGATCGAAAAGGATCTTGTCTGTGTGAAAAGTCACCTCACGTTCTAAAATAAATAATTAATGGACATCCAGAGCAGAAAGTCCAGAAAAGTATTTAAAATGTTATATATGTATGTAGGTACATACATAACAAATTATGTAATGCTGTTTATTAGATTTCTCAAAGGAAAACTGCAAAGAGCTCAGGGCAGTGTCATAAAATCAGACATATTCTACAAAAAAATCACAAAACACATCTCTACAAGAAAGCCATTTGAATATGTAAAAAAAGAAGAAAAATAATCTTACTTTGACTTTATCTCTCCTCAAACAGCAGAACAGACAATTTTCATCAAATGACCAGTCAGACACAGCAATAGGCTCAAAGTCTGTGAACACAAAACAGATGAAAGTTGTTAGAAAAAAAAAGACACTCGCATGGTTTGTAGCTTCACTTTCTTAATGACAAACAGAATTGAGATGAGTGAGATTTAATTTCATTTTAAAATCTTAAAATAAAGATTTTGTGGTTAATGTACAAAATCTTAAGTTTGAAATATTTAAGACAACACCACATTTCTTTCAACGACTTTATTCAACACAGATAAACATTGTTAAATTGTAATAAAAACATTTATTTTAGAGTACTGCTTCCATTTTTAATCAGATTTTCTTTAATTTAATGATAAGGCAATGGACATAAATATATAAATAAAATACCGGAGTGGGTCACCATGAATGCATGCAAGTGTACTACCATTCCATCTGAATGTCCAGCTGAAAACGTAATGAATAAAAATCTTTTTTGACTCATAGCAATTATAAGGCCTTCCCTATTATCTTAGTGAGAATACATATTGTCCAAAATGTCCATAGGATCCCACGCCATCAAAAACATTGCAGAAACACAAGCCTTCCTCTCTTCTGCTGGCAGTGGGTCTGTCTTGGATCGATGTGCATGGGTACCAGATGGTACAATGGAGGAGCATTGTCATGATGAGCATGCAACAGCTTAGCAATAAAGAAAATGGTCTGGGATACTCACCCTTAAATGCTTTTAGGTCTTTTATCAACTCTGGACCAATCAGACCTTCAAGGATGCTCTCAAAACCTGCAAGTAGACATAATTCAATAAAATAAACATTTGATTTCATATTAATATAACAACATTAAATCCAAAGCAGGACAGAAGCCTCTATGAATCCTTGAAGATGATGTCTCCACCCCATATGTATTAGATTCTGATTCTATGTTTTGGTCAAGTAAAGTCTTTCCCTTTTCAGCGGCTTAAAAGTGATGCTTTGGAAACACACATTATGAACTTCATCTTTAGAATTCAGTAAATACACACTTCATTCTTTTGTTGCCAGGGAACTAAAGCGCCTACAGAGTTCAGAGTGATGCATGAAATGAAAGAGCCAGCAACAGCATCACCAGGTGATATATATTGAATTATACATCTAGAGAGCTGAGACAGGGAAATTAAAAGAAAACCTTGAGTGAAAAACTCAGGAGTGGCCCAAGCCAGTCAAAGTGCAACTGCAGATATCATATGTACAGACTGAAGAGATATCCTATGGTCTCAGCTGTTAAATAGATGGTTTGTTTTGCTGCACAAAATTCAACTATGCATTAATTCATGACAATACATAATGTCAGCCAACAGCCGCAGGGTCATCATAAGCAAACTGAAACTACTATGAGTTAAATCAAGCACTAAAGAGGTCATAGGCAACATCTGTCCAATGAACTGTCACAAATATAAGCACAACTGTTTGCCATGCGACCCACAACAACAGAGGATTTAAAATAGGTTAATATCAAAATGTATTTTACTAAGCTAAAAATATGATTCGTGAGCATTTAGATCATAAACAAAAGTGAACCACGGTATACTAATGATCGCAATTCTACAGTTAATAGAAAATGCCTACTTACAAAATCCTTCACAGATAGAGAGAAAACGTATCAGCCTTTTCCATCTATACTCTTGCGAAGCTCAAAGTGAATTCAGAAAAGCTTGTCATCTGGTAAAATGCCTCATTCTGCCGCCTTACAAATTCCCACCCACTTTCCAGCAGCCAAACATAAAAGGGGTGGATGGAGGGGGTGGGAGGGGATGAAGTGGAGATGCCTATAGCAGCAACATGGTTCTGTTTCTGGGTTAGTGCACAGGACTTCAGCTGGAGAGCTATCCAATCCTATTGCTGAAATATTTCAGAGGCTGGAGAAGAAAAGTAGGTCATCCACTTTGGTTTGACAGTGCAGCCCCATAACATCAAACTACTCTTCAGGAATTCAGTTTAAGGCATTTAAAAAAATGTGTCACACTGTAATCCCTGACTTTGTGGCCATGTTGTGTTTTTTTGTTTTTTGTTTTTTTTAAACAGGAGGACATTATATCTTGCAATGGTTTACAGCAAGAAACAAAACCTATTTAAACCAAAGTCTTATTTTTGGATAACTGAAACATTTAGAGGTGCTTAAATTACTGAATTTATTACAACAGGATGAAAATTAAAGACTGCAAAAAGGAAACTGAAAATGGCCACATTTTACAAGTTCATTAAATACACTATAAACTATTGTCCTATGCTTAAATTCAGTTTTGAATTGTGACTCAAGACAACTTCTTTCTAAAAACATACCACATTTATAAAAAAAAAATAAAAGGAAAAAATGCTTTAGCTAATGATTTAAAAAGTAAATACATTCAATAGAATGGTCTGTTATTAACTCAGGTACAACATAATGCAAATAGATAACAGACATAATACAGTACACAATAATAAAACTTGATAATAAGAAATTATGTCAAACAAATGCTACAATGAGATAAATTATGTATTACTCCTAAAACAGTAATGGTGTTTGAAATAATAGTATTAATAATAATGATTTGAGAAAAAAAGAAGAAACTTCCCAAATATTACATCCAAGCATCCATGATTTTGCAAATGTGTAAATTCAGTTGTTTTGTCCAGCTATGTTTTAAATTGTTCTATTTGTTTTTTATTAGGCATTTTAAAGTGGACTTGCCTTTTATGACTAATTTTAGTACAGAAATGTACTCACAGCTAGCAAACCTCTAAATACAGACATTGTGATGCATTCAAAATCATTTCCACAGTTTCTCAAATTAAATTTTAGTCAAGGATTCAGCTCATTTAGATGTTATGTGTTATTTTGGATGAAACAAGATTATTTTGGATGAAACAAGATTATGCTTTGTGATCAAACTTTGACATTCAAGACAACAATTTATAAGGTCTAAAATCTGTAAAACTGAACTTGAAAACTTTGAATTCTAAGCATTCCTGTTATAGTTAAATCCCATGACCATATATTTATCATAGACAAAATGTAGAAGCTAATCATAAAATGTATTTTACAATTTGCCTAAAAAAACATTTTAATCAAGCATTGACATTTAAACTGCCCAAACATAGACATGAACCCTTCAGACACTGATTGTGAGCTATACCTCTGTTCAATCTGCCTTAGCCTTCTTCTGACCTACATCTAAATCCAATCAGAGACAGAAAGATTTGGAGAGTGCTGTTTGTAACGTTTATTACAACACTCCCACCACTGCTTACAAAGAGAAATCCATCAAGATCTACAACCAGAATAACATCCTTAAATCCTACACATAAACATCTGTGGCACATTGATGTGACCCAAGATCAAAACTCTGTTCACTTTTTTCCACAGCAGTGGACTGTCATGCTAACAAGGAAAATATATTTATTTTGACTGATTAAATTACCAATGCACAAGATCAGTCAGCAACTCATTTTTCATTGCAAAAGTAAGTACTTGCTCGTGTCTCTTTGGTTTAGCTAATAGGCTCTGTGTGTGCCACACCTGTTCTAAAGCGCTCTAGATGCTGAGAGTGTGCAGTGCTGCACCAAACTTTACTGAACCCATCCCCCACTCAGCTACTGTAAAAACACCTTCAGACATAAGCAAAACCAAAAGCTCATTAAAACTGGAATTTTGCCAGATCTAAGTCTTATGAGGTACAAAAAAACAAACAAACAGAGAAAGCAGGCATTTTGAGGCAGAAATTTCATTTTAGATTTCGAAATGGATCATTATTCACACATCAGTCATAAAAACAACAATTTTGTGCAAAGAGATGATACAGAAGAAGTAGGTGTGGTGTAAAATGACGGGGGACAGAAAAGTACAAAGTCAAGCAAATAAAAAAAAAAAAGTATAGTTGTCCTAAAAATATTCAACATATGACAACCAAGCCAATCATCAACCCAAATTTTAAAACATTGGCTATTGCAAATCACTACAGCAACAAACAAGTATTTTAGCTTAGGTGAATGCAAATGAAAAATAATTTGCACCCATCTGGGCTAAAATGTGATTGCAGATATTATTCTCAAATACATTATATATTAATCAGGCTATCCAACAAAATGATTTTCACACCTTCAAATGAAATCGTGCGTTAAGCACATTGTGCGATATGATGTAAACTATTAGTCTAATAGGATCATAGTATCATAACAAATTTTCAAAAACATATAGGACAAACATTACCGTTTAGGAAATATGAAAAGAAGTGGCGGAAACTTCCCAGGAATCCAAGATTGTGTCTCATACATTCATGAAAGCTTTGGATCATTTCAGACACCAGGCCACAATGCTAATGGGAAAACATAAGCCACATACCCACCAGAGGGAAAATGAATAATATCTGCTACAAACAAGTTAGTCTGTCTAGTTTCGATATTTGGTTGTTTGGTGTTTGAGCAAATCTTTTACCCCACACATCTGCATGTTAAACGCCAGTCTGAATGACACACATTCTAGAGATTTCTAAAATGCCGGCGGCTGATGTATAAGTCCAAATTTTTCCCAAATCCACACAGAGCGCACATTTTTTGGAAGCACGTTTTGCATCTGGGGGTTGTTGGTCCATAAATGCATGTATGGGGCAAAACATACAAACAATTGTTACTGCTGTTCTACTGGACAATTGTGCTTGTCTCCACCCTGCAGTTTTACTGTTCACATTAAACAACATGTCCATTTCAGGGACAGTGGGGTGGTGGTGGCGTGCAGCCCTCTCCACCAAAAAGCCAAACAAAAGTATGTCCTTGTTGTTCTGGACTGAATATGCCATTCTACTGGCAACAAGCTGATGCTGTTGTCATGTACTCTGCAGTTTCACAATTATAGCCCAAACACAAGGGACATTTGTCAATCATAAAGAGAGAACTGACTAGACAGTCCTGGAAAAACATCAGAGAGCAATTCAGAAGCTGCTATTGTCTCCTTATTTTTTTTATTAACAATCTAAATCCACTTTCTATTCTGCCTGCTTATTTGGAATATTCATTTTACTGACTTAAGCCATAATGAGGATAAAATAGAAAATGTTCTGTCAAGCAAACAGCTCTAAAGTGTGACGCTCAAATGACTACAAGTCACCTACAACTCCCAATCTAACAATGCCTTTTCCAATTAGTTTTACGTAACTATTTTAAGTCAAAATATTGGGATTTATCATTCTACCATCTTTTAATGTGCATATCTTGGCTTTTACATACTTAAATTACACATAAATAACATTAACCCATATCCACACACAAAAAAAAGATACAACTAATTTAATGTGATATTTTCAGATAATGAGCATGAAAGGTTAAGCTATAACTTTTGAATTAGTCAATGATCTACCATTTAAAGACATTGGTTTCAAAATGTACCTCACCATCCACCTTCATCCCAGACAAGTAGTTATTGACATTTATTACACTAAAACTATAGGTCAGTCAATTGCTTCAATGTTATCTGACAATATCAATGATTTGATAAATGTCTGTACTCAGAAAAGAGTAACAATTAGAATTACAAAACTACATAAATTAACAATGACAGAACCCAAATATGAATTCCATTACTGCTATTTAGATCTATAGTTTATTACACTTTAACTTAACACACTGTGTAAACAGATTGTTGTATGCAGACCATTCACTTGTCAAATCAAAAACCATATATTGACAAAATAAACATTTTAAATTTAAAAAACCTTTTTGCTACTATATTAGGTCATCCAACTATAAGGTTAGTGGAAATACTTATTCAGCTTCAAGAGTTTCAGGAAGGGTTTCAGTTTTAGTTGGGGGAATTAGTCCCCCTCTCCACCCAACTAATTTCTTTGGGGGGAAAAATGCTTCTTCAGAAATGTGGACATTAGCAGTGGAGACATCTGTGCATGCTGCAACATGTTTGACACTGAGATGGTCTTCTAGGCTTGAATAGCTTTGATTAGACTACCTCCTTTTAGCACAAATTGCAAACAATAGTATTTTGCAGCAGCCCTTTAGGTCATGTGTTTTTAGCTTTTTATACTACTGCTGTTTTTCACTTTTGTCTACTGCTGTTTGCGGATGTCCCTTGTGTGTCGGTTTAAGTGGGTGTAAAAGAAACGTGAATACAAAAGTTTAAGTTCATGACTTTTGTATGTAAAAAGAAAAGACAATTTTCTCACATTTTTAATGTATTAAAATCTATGTAATTAATCACATTTATTGCAATAAAATCCCTGTCCAAGTTACTTGAACCACAAATATTGTAATATTGGATGAATATGTGCAATTCACAACTCAAAATTTGCTGGGGGTTTTTTTGTTTTGTTTTATTTTTTAGGATGTGTCCCTTTATAAACAATAAATCTAGCTTTTGTTTTAATATTACACTATATGACATCACACCATCAGTGTGTGAATGTGTGCCTGAATGAAAAAATGTGCAGTGAAACACTTTGGGGTCTTCTGCACTTAAGCACTATATGCATTCAGGCCATTTAACATTTTTTACCATATCATGTTGACCAAACATTAAGTGTTGCATTACAATGACTGAAGCACAAAAAAACATGTTGAAGCGTCTGAATTTGCAGATTGTCTTCCACACAGTATATAATATGCCAATATAACAATAAAACACTACAAATAAAACAAATTGTTTGTTAAGTTTAGCACATTAAAAATGTTTTAAATTAAACTACTAGTATGCACCAACACAGCCTCTGCAGTGTACAGCACGTCTTTAACTGTTGTCGTTTGCAAGTCTATGGAAGTTCGTGTATTGTGAAAAAGGGAAACTCTCCTAACAGTGGGGTCTCCTCTACTTCCTCAAAGCAATAAGCGCGTCCACGGTGGTAATTTAAACGCTAACTGAGAACATCACCTCACGGGTCTGTGTCGCCCTCCCCCACACAAATTACAGTATGATCTTAGAGCAGGAGCGCGCCGCGCACGGGTACGTCTTTAGCCGACGCTACACCACTGACACTCCCTTTAAAACAAGCACGGTGCCCTTTAAACAAACTAACATTAGGCCACTACATACTTTATACCTACAACTGAGACTCAATGGTAAGAAAACCAGCACATAATCCAACTTCGGTGGTGTGATATTATAGAAAACAGTAACATTTCAGTAGCTACCCCAACTGGCTGCAGTAGGAAAGAAACAGTTAAGGACAAAAAGTCGCTCGGAGATGCCCCGAGTCAGTCCGGTAATAGATGGTTATTTACACCGAAAAAAGCTACGACGAAGGGAAATTCAACCCGTAAAATGTGAACTATCTCACTGACAGTTTCCTTACCTACACAGTGAATAAGTTTGTGTCGCCAAGAGTCAAGTTCCTGCCGAAAGCCGCGCCTGTCGATTGTGCATTGCTGCTTTTTGCACAGACTCGCCATTTTCTATTTTCTCTGGCGGCGGGCACCAGCACGCAAAGAGGAAGCGCTTAGCTGTGGTAACGGGCGCGCGCCCGCGGAGATAAGTGAACCAGCAGCACCTTCTCATTAACATAGACATAACACATATTTACATAGTTTTCCTTGGTTACTGTTGACACGATATTGGTATTAGTCATTTTTTATAATATTTGTGCGTATGTGTGCAAGAAGTAGGATATTATAATTGTTTAGTTTTTTGATATAAGAAATAGGAATATTCTTTAGTAAGATAATTTTCCTACAGGAATAAAGAGAGAGAGAAAACAACAAGTTGAGGCAGATGGGGGGCATGCATTTGCTTGAAGATAGAAATGTAAGAATAAGAATAAGCGATTGTACAGTAAGGAAAAAAATACAATATAAACAATACTGTTCTAAAAACAGTGTTAAAAGTATAAAAATAATAATATGTAGCTAAGTAGGTTAATTTAGAGGTATAAAATGAATAAGATGTCTGCTTACAGAGAAGAGCAAACAGTTGTTCTTTGAAATTAGAAAAACAGCACAGGATTGCAGACTTATGAAGGCTTCAGTTTGTTGGGATGCACAATGGCTACAAAATCTTAAAGCTGCTGGGAATAAGGATCTGCAGTAGCACTTGTTTATGCACCGAGGATGTAGCAGTCTGTCACTGAAGGAGGTCTCCAGTTGGGCAACAGCTTCATGTGGGTGGGAGACATCCAGAGGTTTGCTGACTCTGACCCATTCCACTGAGTTGAGGGGTCATCCTAGAAATTCTCATAATGATTTCAAGCACTTATGTATTTTTTTATTTTTTTTCCTGCGGGTCAATAAAGAACATGCCCATTCTACTTATATTATCCCTCGCAGTCAAACAACAGTTGATTATTGTATTCCATCCTGATGCAATAAAATAACCCTCACACTTACACAAACAAATGTACAGATGTGGGGAAAAGTTTATTTTAGAAGTTCTGGTATTTTACAGCGATGTTTTCCAGAAATCTGTTCAACAGCATTGAGGTTTATCAGTGCAGTAGAATACTCACTAAGAATGAACAAAGGGATTCCCCTGTATTCTGGTAAGCACAGAAGAAATCAATGAGCTTAAGAAAAAAATGGCGAAAAGCTCTTACAGTATACAAGTATTCTGCTGCACCATCAGTAAATGTTGCGTTCAGTGACAGTTGGGTTCGTACGCGTTTATCCTCTATAAATTTAAGTAAGGAGAAGCCAGAGTTACATATAAAACAGGTCTCTCTAAATTATTGTTGAAAAATACATAACGAACTTAAAGTATTTAATTTCATATTTTTCACTTCTGATTTTTTTCAAAATATTTTGTGATTTTCTTTACGCATTCAGAGTTTACAGGCAGGACTTGAACGCGCCATCTCTTTTATCAGCCGGTGTTTTCATTTATTTACGCCCCTCCTGTCGTACCCGGTGGTTTCCATGCTTCAGAGAGAGCAGGCTTTGAGTGAAGGTAAATAAAGACCTACCTTTAGGTGCCTAGCCTCCGTGCCTCTTACGGACAGAGACATAGATAGATAGCTGTAAATATGAGCTTCATTACAATTTGAATAGGCGAGGATTTTAGTAAAGACGAGGAGGGCATTTGCAGCAACATGTAGCTACACAGGGATGCATTGATCGAAACAGATTGACAGCTTTAGCTCGATAGTTTTAATATTGCGTGGGAACAATTTTGTCTTTGTGTGATTAATTATTTATCTGATGGCGGCAGCTTGGGTGAAATTACCCTTGACTGTCATCCTGCAAGGCGTTTATTTGTTTTAAAAATGAAATCTCTGTTATAAGAGGTGGATTATGCTGTAATGTGGTTTGCTAACGTCCATTTGTATAGTCACTGTTCTTGTGTGCAGCTTTGCAGCTTTGGAAAAGGGATACCGCCTCAGCGTTGCCTTTACAAAAGCTACTGCTAAGGTGTCTTCATCCTTTTGATATTAGGACTCAGATCAATTTAGTATATATATATATATATATATATATATATATATATATATATATATATATATATATATATATATATATATATATATATATATATATATATATATAGATATATATATATATACTATACTTACCTATGAAGTTTCTCTAAAAACAGTGAAATAGCTCTTAAATGCAGCAAGACTTAATTGAATACAAATTTCACTTTGTCTGTCTGACTCGTCATGTAAAGCTAGATTATTTTTTACAACCGCTTATCTCTCTGTTGACTGAATGTGACAAATAGCAAAAGAGAAAAAAATAATCTTTTTGTTAAGTTCATCTGTACCTTTTCTCTCTGAGAAAATAGTGCCATGAAAAGGTTGAGCCATATCACCCATGTCAAAATACCACTTCTGCGTATGACTATTGTCAGTTTGACCTTTGTTTTTTTTTTAAGAGCTTTGTAAAAAAGAAAACAGACCATTTTGTCCTAAAGAAACAGCAAGGCAAAAAAAAAAAAATTTCATAATAGTTGTACTGTAGTAATCAGTTTTACGGTGCTAAGAAGTAGTTCTTATCCAATGGGGTGCATTTGTATCTTTTAAATAGGAACACCATGACTTTGACCAGAGGATCTTTTACTTATGCCAGCGGAGAGGAGTACCACGGCGAGTGGAAAGAAGGTGAAACAATCCCTTCTCACAGTCCTGCAGAAATGCAACATGAAACCTACTTTCTTAACAAAACTGAAATTTGTCGGCTGGTGTTAACTATAGAACTTTAGAAAGTGTTTATTTACATGTTATTACAAATGACCATCCTCAGCTTTTAGTATTACTAATAAACTGGCTAATTGAGCAGAATACTATACCTTTTTTAATTGGCATTTTGCTGTTTATCGTGCAAAACAAAAATAATACATTGATGTTAGCTGGTTTATCTGTCAGCTAACTGACTGATAAACTCATCACCAGATGCAAACAGAAGACATAGTTTGCCGCTTGTAGTTTTGAAACAGTGTTACCTTGAAAAGAAAGAAAATTGCTACAATATTTTCAAAGTTCCACATTTTCTTCTGTAATTAAGAGTAGCAGTTTGTGGAGGGTCAGTAATGCATTACTTTGTGCTCTATACAGCTACAGGAACAGTGTGGTGGAAAATGTATCATTTTTGAAACTGTTGCTTCCTACAAGCCTTATGGAGTAACTGGCTGCAGAACTTTGTCCTAAAACACTTGACCAGACCCATGTAGTAGTTTTCTAGGTCTTTTAAACTTAAGCAACACTCTGGTTCTTTTTCAGGCTTAACGCTTTTAATTTTGTCAGTTTTCACACCTGGGGAAGATGATGATGACACTCACATGCTTAAAGCCTCTCGCATGCACATCCACTTATAGGTTCAAGCTATTTATATAAATCCCAGTTAGCTGCCATTGGTCACCCTGATTGTAAGCAAATCCTCTTTGCACCTGACTATAGACTGGGAGTCTTTGGGCATTTGAAGAGAGTCCTAAAAAGAAAGCCAGTCAATTAATTTACACATACACATTTTCTTCTGCTTTTTTCTTTTAGCTCTGTTTTTTAAGGAGTAAGAATTCTCATCTTTTTACACCAGCTTCAGTTTACCTATTAAATTTAATGTTGCAGTTGTAGCCAAGTTGTAAATGATTCATTACTGAATCACTAAGTGGAAGTAAACTCCATTACTTGTGTCCTAGCAGGGGTCCTTCGGTGGGAATCAGTGCAAGCATGCAGGATTAGACTGCAATAAATCCCACCTACACCGTCAGCAGATGGGACTCCTAATTTAGTTGTAAACCTTTATCTCACAGGAGGTGGGAAAAGGTTGTTTATATCAAGAAATAAAATTGCACCAAAATTGAAGAAAAAATAAAAGTTCCCTTTCTTTACTTCAAACTTATTTTAATAAAACACATAAACACATTTAGTGAATACTGCCCTGCTTTGTGTGACTTCATTTGAGTATAAGTACAGCTTTTCTGTGAACTCTTCAAAGGTCATAGCATCATCATGAAGACCAAGACCATGACTTGGAGCAGTGATCAAGTCGGCTGTAAAAAGTATTTACTCAAGAGAGACTTAATTCATACACACCACACACTTTACAGATCACATGGGAATGTAAACTGATCTGTAAACTGTTACTTTCCTTTCATGTCACAAGTACGCTCTGCTTTGTGTTGGTCCATTACATAAAATACCAATAAAACGTAATTGTAGCAGCAAACTGTGTCTCATTGATAGCTGTTTCAGTAATTAAGCAGCATATTGTTTATTATTCTAGGTCGGCGACATGGCCTTGGCCAGCTTAAATTTCAGGATGGAACATGCTACACTGGCCAGTTTGAGAATGGACTCTTTCACGGTTCTGGTGTGCTGCTTTTTACAGACGGATCCAGGTGTGTAGAGAAATGATAGTTAAACCCTCACAAAGGTTACAAAGGCCAACCTGGTCAAATTTGTTTTGTCATGACAGGTACGAAGGAGAATTTGCTCACGGAAAGTTTCAAGGTTCAGGAGTCTTTAGTCGATTCGATGGCATGAAGTTTGAAGGAGAATTCAAAGATGGCCGTGTTGAAGGATATGGTGAGGATATAACAGCGCTTTAACAGCTAATCGATTGGAATGTCAATATTGTGTGTGCCTGTGGTTGGTTATAGTCCGGTGTATCTGTGTGTGCAGGGCTATTGACGTTCCCTGATGGAACTCATGGTGCTCCACGAAATGAGGGCTTGTTTCAAAACCACAAGCTGCAGAAAAGGGAGAAGTGTCCTGGAGTGGTGCAGCGTGCTCAAGCCTCAGCCTCCAGCGCTCACAGCCTGGCGTTATGACTGCCTTAGACCATAAAGGTGTTAGGACTAAACTTTCAGCACCTTCCAGATGGGCCTTAAGGGTGAACACTCTCTTTCACAACCTCTCTTTGTTTTTGTTTTTTTACCATTTCTTTGTATGCTTGTCCACACTTAAAGTGACTTAAGGGAAATGCATTTGAACATTTTTGGATGACTTTCTATGAAATGAAGAACTTCATGAAGCACACCTTTAACTTGATGAGTAAGCAGGGAAAGCTGCTTCCGCTCTCATACTGACATCAGACCATAAAATGTGTCTGTTTCTTTCTATAGCCGATCATTTTGCTGCTGATTAGAGAAATTACTTTTTAAAAAAACTGTTCATTTTAGAATAGCTTAAAATTTAGTAAAAAAAAAAATAGGAAAACTCATAGCTGCATGTATGTTAAAGAAAGAATGTACATATTTAACTATTCACATTTGCCTTAAAGATATTTTCACACAATCACATGCTTGGGGGTGTTCATACAATAATCAGATGATGAACAACACCCTCTCCTCACATTCTCACTGCATGACTTGCCTTGAGGTATCTGTCCGTTTAAGGAGTAGAAAGCCTGATTATGAATGGTTTTAGCTCTGTCATTTGCAAGTCTTCTTCTTGATGATTATTATTGTTGGGAAAGACGATGACCATGACTCAACATTTATACATGTTAGAATCATTCAGTAGAGCTTAGAGGTTCACATACGGTCATCATCAGCATGAATTCAGGGTCGTATGATCGTCCAACAAACAATTTCAATGAATTTCAGAAACCAGAGTTGGATGAAGAATTTTGAATTTATTGCTGTGTGTTTTCTCTGCTGAAAACAGAATAAAACTAATACACACAGGCTCAAACATACATTTACCCCATTAATATTTACTCAGCTGTATCCCAGTTTGTCACACGGGAAACACATGCATATTTTTTTTTCCGATCAGCAAACTCTTGGTGCAATTCTGGCTGGATGTTTGACTCCTCCCATCAAACATGCTAGAGTTTATTTAAATCATGTGGTTTTCTGTCAACCACTCTGTACTCAGAGTAGATGGATTTTTGTGAAACCTGCTTTATTAGTTTCCAAAGCCAATTTTTATTTTTTTTAAATTTGAAATCAAAACAAAAATGCATAAAGCAGGTGAACATTTAGCTTTTGAATCAGTCCCTATTTTGTAATGACAATTTGTAAGCTTCTCTGCAACTTGTTGAAAAATTTTCCAAATATTAGTGGGATTATATGTATGTTTTTAATCATGTAGAGAAAATTTACATTAAATTCAAACTTGCCCAACAAGTTCTTGTTTTAAAATTCATTGTCGTCGTCTGTTGTGTCATTGTATTGTTGCAACTAGGTGTGTCGTGATGACAAATTTTGCTAGATGATAAATAGTCCCAGAAGTTATTACGATAAATGGTAATGGTAATATTATCATTGCAAAAAAGTAATAAAGTACTTTATTACTTTATTACTCAAGCCTAATAAAGTACTTTATTACAAATACTTGTAATAAAGTATTTTCACTTTATTACAAGAGATAAAGTGAGAATACCATAAAAATGCAAGAGCACATTCTCAAAGATCAACAAACTTAAAATTTTAATAAACACAGGAATTCAAAGACATTTTAAATATTGAAAATAAATAAACAAGCAACGGAAACAACAAATTAAATTATTTATGAAGTCTCTCTAAAAATGGGGCCTGTTTGAGATCCATGCAGCAGGCTGGAGATTTTTGTCATCCAGTTTTTGGTAAAAAGTGAGCGAGAAAAGAGAAAACAATAAATCATGCAAATGGAAATGATTGAGTTTGTTTTCATTTATCTTGGGATTATTTGATTTATTGCTTATTGCGACAGGCCTAGTTGCAACATGGACAGAGAACGGCTCTGCTGCATCATTAAAAGTCCAACAATTAATCTGATGTTCATTCTGATAGTGACTGAATGTAAATTTCTAACCAGCACAATTTCTCACTTGTGTTGGATCTATGGACCTAGATAATTTAGGCAGCTAAATAAAAAAAAAATGTATGTACTTCTTTATTAAAGTGTGCAAGGTGTATAAATAGTAATTGTATCTAGCTGTATCAATTTTAATTTTAAGCATTCTGGACTGGTGGAAAATTGTGTTTTCATCATGTTTGATATTTTGACACATGATTTATTACAGCTGATCACAGCTATTATGTGTTCTGTATACTTGAATGTTTAACAGGCCTTACAACACATCAGTAGACATTATTTATTCTAGCGTTGCCTCCAAACCCTCAACCAAAGACAATCACGTCATATAAGAAGGATGAAAACCTGAAATGGTCAGTAGTGCAAACAATCAGGCCTTAGAGTTGGATAGTAAAGACAAATCAATGAGGAGAATTTAAACTGGAATTTAAGTGTGAACAAAAAAATGACCCGTTGATTAAACAAGGAAGTATTTGGTTTCAGTTATTTCTGAAGTCGAATTAGAAAGATTTACATTTTCACTGCTACACTCTGTGAAAAAAGAATACTTCAAGAGTCAAGCCCTACAGCTTGGTTTAATGTATTATGACAACTTTTAAAATTGAAAAGGAGACTTAGAAACAGATACTCTGACTTGTTTTGGTATCAATAACACTATTTTAGTGCACATTTAAAGTATGCTGCATGTGTAAATGCACTTGTTCCCTCACCAAGTGATCTCACAAGAGTCATGCTTCCATTTCCACCTGGAAACAAATGGTGCTTTACAAATGTGCCTGTCCACAATTTGATTTGCCTGGTAAAATAAAAAATATCTTGTTGCCATGGTGTTACCTTTTTGAGGATTGTTACCATGTGGTCTTTAAATAAAGCATCCACTGATTTCGTGGAATTCGTCTGATCATGTATCATGGAGGCGTATCTAATAAAAGGGTGTATTGTAAAAAGAAAAACATTTTCTCAGCGAGTTTTTGATCTTTGTTCCAGAAAGCAACAAAACATCAATTATCGGTCAGTGCTGAGCTCAAGCGCAGGCGCTGGATTATGAAGTAGGGACTGAAAAACAACTAAATGTTTCATTGATAAACAGGTTCCTCTGAACTTTGGCTGCATCGCAGTGAGACAATTTCCCCATCCCCCATCGCAATAAAATCAGCTCACAGCAGCACGCAGCTAATACGACACATGAATTGCAAGGGAGAAACCTAAAAATGTCAAGCACTTAGGAGCTGTGTACACAAGAATGAATTTTTGTCAGGTGCTTTTCTTCGCTAATGTGTCGTTGGGTCTCAGTTTTAGAGTTATATAGACTGGAAGAACTATCTGATTCCTAACCCTGTGTTGTGGGTGGTTTGTGTTCCCTCGCTCTCTCCCTGACAGTTAGAGCAGCCTCGTCTGGAACAGGAAATACTGCGTGGGGCTGATAATGAAAATGAATAGTTTGCACACATCACATAGAGCCGTGGTTAAAATAAGCCTCTCTTTCAACGGCAGGTTTGGTTCCTTTTGGTGTCAGAATGAAATAAAAATGATCTAGGCGTATTTATTTATTAATATTACTTTAAACAAAAGTAATATTTTCTTTCTATTGCTTTATTATCTGTTGATAGGTAGTTCTTGGTATTTATCAGAACAAACTTTTAGGTGACAATGTAAGAAATATCACATTTAAATCTTTCAAGGGTATGAGCAATGTATCAAGTAGACCAGCTCCAATGTTTCAGTTCTTGTAGGTTTTCCATTGTCTTGCCCATGTAATTATAGTTAATTTATCAACATTTAGTTATATGGTAGGACAGAGGTACAAGACACGGTACACTGGATCTTTCTTGGAACTTTGGAAATTTTTATGGGCCTTGTGCCACTTGGGTAGACCATGGGGAAGACAAAAACTCACTTCTGAGACATTTTATACCTTTTGGCATGAAAACCAGAATGAGCAAGAGAGAAATGTGGGGGAGCGAGATGCCTGCCTTTTCTTTAGCTTTGTCTGTGACACAATCTTGGATAAGTAGAAGACAGTGGTTAAGGAATAAAAGAGGCAATATTGAAGTTTACAGAAACTTTAATGTTTCTGTACCTGCTCTTTGAATGTTGTCACCAATAGACTTTTAGCAGTTGGTCATAATAACTCCACCCAATTGGGCTGACAAGATGCCCTAAAGGATCAAAGGCGCACAAGTCTTTCAAAATTGGGGAAACCCTTTGAGGGATTTGGTCAAACCACTAAGAAATATCTAAAAACACAAAACTCAATCAAATAAGCATCAAAGCAAATAAGGCACAAGAACAAAGTGGCTTGAGAAACACAACTTCCCATTGCATTTCAATAAAGAAAAACTCTCTCAGACAAAGATTGGTATGCCCCAAACAGTCACACTTTTTACTGTGGATTATACAGGGGAATTGCCCATGAAGAGTGTCACACAAGCACCATGTGAAATTGTAGAACTTAACATTGGCTAAACAAACAAGCAAGACACAGACAACACAGATTCAAGTTTCCACCCACACCTCATCAATTACACTTTTCGAAAGACGAAAAACCTGCAGCAAGTGTGACAAAAAAAGAAAGAAAAAAAGTAAAAAATCTGTGAGGGGTGAACACTTTTTTTCCAGCACCATACTTAATCACACTTTTCATCTCTCTTCTTCCCCTTTGTTATGTTTAAATACTTTATTTTATTGGATAAATAGCTGATGGCACACACGCGCGCGCATCCTCCCCCCCTCCACACACACACACACGCACGCACACACGCACGCACACACACACACACACACACACGCATGCACACACACGCCTATTCACATTTAAATATTGAATTTTATTGGATGAATAGCTGATGACACACATGCATGCTTATTCATCCCCTTTCCAGCTGGAGTGTGACTGACATATCAATGGTTAACCAGGGGTATTGAGGGAAGAGGCAGAGTTCAGTCAGGTAAAAGAGGAACTTCAGCCATTTTGTCCGGACACTCTTCTGCTTATTTCTCAGCAATGGAAGAAGAAAGTTAAAAATCAGCTGGCAACTCTTCGAGAAAAGCTGTAAGTTGCTCTCTGTTCTCATGTGTTTATAAAACTCATTCTTGTCTCAGGCAGCGTCAAGCTCATATTTGACTATAAAATAGGTAACACTCTCCCTGTCGTACATGGATCATAGTGACTCTTTTCACAGAGCTGGTCTCAAAAGTAGAGATAAGTTATTCCTTAATATTATGTTTGATGATTGAGGGCACTTTAGTCGGCATTATACATTGTGTGTGTTCAAGGTGGAAGAAACAGTGCGATGGTGACGCTGAACCGTCTGAGTGTAGAAGATCCAGACGATGGTGCTCCACTGCTGCCTGTGGCTGCAGAGACAACAACACCAGCAACTGTGGGTCACAAACAACAAGACATATTAAAAACGGAGTCCAGGGAGTTTTTCCTTAGCAGGTATCAGTCCTCCAAAGAAGAAAACAGGTTATGTTCAAAACTATGACAGAGCACTCCGGACCCACTCTATTTAAATAATATTAAAAACAATCTAATGTTGCTCAAATTCTCTACAGTAATTTTTTTTTTTTTTTAAAGCAATTATGTTGATGAGTGTGATTATTATTTGCCTGAAGGGTTTCAGGGTCGACTGAAGCCCACGGACTGTTGAATAAATTTTATATACAGCAATATAACAACCAACAGTCAAACATAAAGACAAGTACTATCATACTTCTATATTCCAATACCTGAGTTAATGTAGAAGAATGAAAACTTCCTGTACCTTACTCCTGACTAATCTGACATAATGTAAGAAAACATAAATGGGACAAAGCAAATTTGTTTAACAAATTGAAAATGACTTTGCTTGTGGTCTTCAGCATGTGAGCTGTGGAGGTGTGGCTGTGATCATGGTTGTGATACTCTGAGAAAGTTAGTGAGGGCTTTCATTTCTCAATCTGGAAAAACTCAGTTTTAGAAAGGTGAGCCACCCATTAAATTTTAAGCATGCTTTTAATAAACACATAACAGTGCCTCTGTAAAGCCTTTTGTAATTTTTATTATAATACACCTATGCAAAGTGTGTAGGTTGCACATCACACACAAATGACTGAGTGGACTGAAAATGGCATGCAGTTATGAAAAGTGTGGCATGCATTTGTTTTCAGATTTGCTTACCCTGACACCTCTAAATTAAATCAAATTAATACATTTGTTTGTAAATAGACTCCTATTGCATGTGATTTCATCTGAGACCAAACTTTAACATTTCAGAAAACAAGCCAAACTTTGTGGCTGAAAGCCAACACTGCTTTTCACTCTGAACTCACCATTCCCATGGTGCTATGTGTTAGTGGCAGCATCAAGTTGTTTAGATGTTTTTGTTGAACAGGAAATAAGAAATATATCTAAATTAATGGTCACAGAAGAGTAGAATTTGACAACAAAGTTTCTCTTCAAATGGGATTATAATCTGAAACATAAAGCCAGAACTGACAAGAATGGTTTCAAACAAAGTGCACTCGTGTTAGAATGGCCCAGTCAAAGCCCCGAATCAGTCAAAGCTAAATCTCATTTAGCCTCGAATCTTTTGGTCTATCTCATAAAATTCATTGAAGGTTATAATGTGATAAAATGTCCAAAACATTGAGGGTCAAATATTTTTGCAAGTATCTCTAATTAAAGAGAAACAAATTCTCAACCTGTAATTTGAACAGATGCACTTATTGTTGTCATACTAGCTGACATGGCAACTCAGATATGACATCTGCAGATGGAAGAACATGGCTGCCCTTTACATTTTTGCTATTATTCATGGCCCATTTTGTCCTTTTGTCTTCTGAACAGGAAGGAGAATCTTGCCACTAGTCTGATCTTGCTGATCGGATGCTACTTGGCGATTCTGATTCCTGCATATTTCCCCTTAAATAATGTGTCGTCAGACAGCGATGACTACCAGTATCCCAAAGATTTGGTAAAGCTGCATGTTATAGCATATTAGCAAGATCTTTGTTAAATTTACTAAAGAAGTTATTTTACTGCGCCCTCTTCTCCTCAGGCCTTACTAAATCGGTCGGCCCTCCTGCTTTTACGACCATGCCAGCCTCACTGGGGTCTGGACCACCTCAAGTCGCTGTCCTGTTCTGAAGGCCTTCTGGACATCCCAGTGTTTGTTCAACAGGACCAACCCAAGGCATGGAATCTGACCCCTCCTCTGGGGCTCCAAGGGAGTGAAGAGCATTTGGCTCTGGCCCTTGCCGCTATGCCTCAGCCTGGTCTGCCTCCATCTTTGAGTAAAGAAGACAGGTGCAAGCGATGTGTGGTGGTGGGAAATGGAGGCATTCTTCACGGGAGCCATCTTGGATCTCACATAGATCAGTATGATGTCATTATCAGGTATGTGGTTCAAATTTGTCCCATTTTTTAATTGCTACTAAGGGTCATACAATTATTTCAAGAACCTCCAATGACCCTTGACCTACGCATACCTCTTGCAAATTTAGGTTTTAAGTACTCTTTTCATTTTACAAATTTCTCTGAAGTAGAAGTAATAGTTAAATTTTGTATTTTCCCTAATTACATTTTTTGTTGAATTCCACTGACCACACTAAACCCTTCCTTGAATTTGTTGGAGCAAAGTCCTGTTTTGATGCAACTCTTGAAATTTTGGGGGTTTAATGCCTGTTTCCAGGATGAATAATGCTCCCGTCCCTGGATTTGAGAGAGACGCTGGGTCACTCACCACCATCCGCTTGATGTACCCAGAGGCAGCACCTCACTCGGCCGATGAGTACAAAAAGACCTCCATGGTCGCTCTGGTGGCTTTTAAAAGCCTGGACTTGGACTGGCTGACTTCTATAATAACCAAGCAGCCTCTGGTTAGCCCACATCTGAATACTCTCTATACTGAACAAGTGCCTCATTAGTTCAACGTAAAATTTTGTCATCCTGCTTGTCATCTATAGAGCTTCTGGTCCAAAATGTGGTTCTGGAGGGAGGTAGTTGAAGATATTCCGCTGAAACCCGAGAGCTTCAAGATTCTCCATCCAGAGATCATTCACAAGACAGGGCAGGTCATACAGAGATATGCCCAGAAACAGGGAAATGTAAGTTCCTAAATGATTTGTCTATTTCTTTACATAAAAGTGTGATACATACGCATTTGTTCAATTTATTGTATTGCTTCCAATAACAACTGCTTTGAACCAGAACCAAAAAAAAATATATTTTGATGGGCCATCCAAGAAGCTGATTGAAAGATGAGCAACATTTATTTTCAGAGAAGCCATTTTGTACTACCACGTTGCTACCATGTGAAAGAATTTCTCTCAAATGATCAGTGAAGTTTGAGATCTTGTTTTGCTTCACGAAATAAATCAAAGGTCATTTTCTGTTCTGAACAAAGATGGTGCCAACATTGGGTGCCAGTGCCGTGGTGATGGCTCTGCAGATGTGTGACCATGTGAGCCTCGCAGGGTTTGGTTATGACATGCAACACCCAGAGGCCAGGCTCCACTACTACGAGGCAATACGCATGGGTGCCATGAAAGCTCAAGTAAGTTTACACTGACATAAGATTGTGGGCAAACATGCTGATTCCACAGAAAGATATGTAAAAAGCCTGGGGATAAATTTGTCCTTCATTCCACCCGGGAAAGTTCACTTATTCGTTGCAGAAAAATTCAGTGTCGACAAAACGTGAAAAAAATTACTGGAAGAAAGATTATTAGTGCCCCTGCTGGGGATAGACTGTTCATACTACGACAAATTATTACGTTTTCACCTGCAACATTTCACATGGCTTTCAAAGACATGGCTTATTTACACATAATCAAAAATCAAAGAGCCTCACAGATTTTCAAGAGCATTTAGAGGTGAGATGGTCGTGCAAGTTTTTTTTTCTAACAAGACTTATGCTTAGAAAAGAGTCTGCTGCAACACAGCACCTACACCTTACATAACAGTTTCCACAGATGCTTTTCTGCTTATTCATCATTAGTTTCAGAACAAGATATGTTTCACAAACTAGAAATGTTCTTAAATTCTCAAGAACTTCAAAAAGTAAAGTGATATTTTAAAAACTGCCCATGTCTAAAAAGTATTTTTAGGTGTTTTTGTAGGTACCAATTATTGAGAGATGATTTTGTCAACGATCATTTCTTCAAATGGAATTTCTTCCCCCCACTAAATAAAAGGCCTCAAATGACGGCAGTGTGAGATTATACAAATGCGATGGATTTACTATTCAAGGATTTTTACACATCTTTACCAGAATCCCTAAGACATTTGTCCAAATCCACCCCGTTAGGCTTACTGACCACAGAATTTAGGTTCTGTCCACAATGACATTTATTTAAAATCTTCCAGGTGGTGCACGACGTCAGTGCTGAGAAACTCTTCCTGAGGGACCTGGTGGCTTCAGGAGCCGTGACCGACCTCACAGGAGCTCTTTGAGTTTTTCTTAAATCTGTATGCACTCCCCCTACTGGTTGGGAGTTTGTTTCCTCTATTGTAAGCTGTGCACAACGCACTCCACACTGCAAAAATGACCTTTGAAATGCTCCCAGTGTTTAATATCCCAGTAAAATGCTCCCAGTCTCTACACAACTAACTTGTCAAAGGAATGATTTTTAGCAGTTAATTTGAGAACAGTATTAATTATACAGATGATATTTAGAAAAAGACTGTACTGTGTTATCTCCTGAATGTTTTATTTGTATTCTGTTTTATGTTTTAATTTTTTTGATAAAAACTCAATAAAATAGAGAATACACCTATGCTGCTGCTAGTTGTATTTCTCTATAGGAAAAAAAATCCCTCTAAACTGCTTCTTGTGCACTTTGTGTAAAACTCAGGAAGAATCCCTAAACAATGCCAATTAAAGCCAATTACTACAATCTCGTATTCATGACACAGAAGCAAGCAAAACAATGTTTAAATTATTCATAAGGAAAAATATTCAGCAACTACTTGTTGGATTTTTTTATTTATATAAGTCACACTGAAGGTACAGTATTTACATTTGTAAAATACAAATACTGTAAAATTTAAAAGGGTGAAAAAAATTACAGTGTTTATATGTACATGACTAATCAATAGGAAAATAATTTTCAAGAATGCAAATTTGATGGGGTCGATTAGTCACAGGGATTGCCTTTGCTAAGTGAAAAAGTGCTTCTAATAAATTATTTGGAGAACTTCAAACACAAAATACCAAAAAGCAAAAAAAAAAAAAACAACTGGAGGATGGGAATGAGGGTAAACAAAGCAACTAGCTTTTCCAGGTTTACAGCCATTCGCCTGCTTCACTGTTTTATGTTGGGATTGTAGCACCACTCCAGATATGTGGGTCCTGCTTTTCCTCCTGATGGAACAATGGATTGAAACCGTTCTCTCGAAGTTTGAGTGTGACGATCTTTCTACAGCAGCGGATTGCGTGAGGGCTCCCACAGTTTGCTTGCGAGTTGCCTGCAGTGCTGGAGGATGATCTCTGTGGGGATGACCCCCAGGTGGACAGTCAGCAGCTCATAGCACTTCACATTCTCCCCCTTGTGGCTTTTGCTGTAGTACCTCAGCAGCCTACTGTGAAAAATATGACTTCTGTCAATACAGAGCAAAGGCCACTTGAGTTATCCTTACATTTCAAGGTAAGGTTGTTTACTTGTAGTAGTCATAGGCGAGCATCCCAATGGGTGGTGAGTCATCAGCCAGCACTGGTATGTCCACTGGCTCTAACTTGTATCCCTGATGAAGAATATAGAGAGTTTGTAGCATAATGCTAATGCGTACACAAGTTGGCAAAAATGTGGAAACATTTAATAGACTTAATTGTTTGTTGCACAGAAAAAAAAGATGAATCCATCTTTAAACTGAGTCCAATGTTCTGGGAGGTAGGAGGGGGTAACTTACTGTTTCATTCTCAAACCAGAGGAAGTAGCAGAAATAGAAATCTCCGTCACGGAGTGTGACAGTGGAATAACCCTTCTGCAGATAGCGGCGGGTTGTCCTGACCAAGGCCCATACCTTCAGTTCAAGGTCAAAAAATAGACAGAAGTGAAAAAGAAAGTAATTGTGGTTACTGCACAGGCAAAGTAATTCTGCTTTTCACAAAGGCAAGAGAAAGAAGACTATGTTCCATCAGTCAAAGGATAACAAGAAAATCTGCAAACACTTCTTTCTGATTTCACTACTTTAACATTAGTGTGCGTTTAGTTCATAGCAGCGCTGTTATTAGTCTTTTTATTGAATATAAAACTATGAAAACATTTTGTGAATCTGTTGCCAGTGTAAAGAGTTTTTTTTTTTTTTGTAAAAGGACTGTTAAGATTTTTACTTTTTAAGTCCATTGCTCTAAATGACCATAGTGTCTTTTCATTCTAAAACACTCACGTAGTAAAATAAAGCAGACCTTGTTTTTAATATAATTAGCCACAGGTCCCTTCCCCAGCTCCGACGTAGTGCGCTCTGTGATGCTGAGTGACGGAGCAATCATTTGACCAGTTGCTCGGTCCACGCAGATAAAATGGACGAGTCCTGGGAAATCCTCCAGATAAGTGAGATCAGCTTAGTCAAGATCCACATTTTTAAAAAAGATCTTCAGATCAAAAGGCAGGGCCGGAGTTTAGCCAGGTTTTACCAGGGTGGTAGTCCAGAAATTAGCCCTGAGGCTCTGGGAAATCTACAATTATTTAGTCTTTCTTTTGGTTTTTAAATAAACTGAAAAAATATATCAAGAATTCTTTTATATTTATGATCACTTAAAAATATAAAATTGTAAAATGCTCACGATAAAGAAACTGGGAAAGCAGAAACAAAGGACATAAGAGAAGGAAAGTAAGAAAATGTGAGGCATAATAAAGGACATAAAGGAAGGAGAAAAGGTATAACAATCAAGAAAGGAACGAATGACACATGGAAAGGAAGGATACGGGAAATTATACAAGGAAGAAAATAAAGGCCCCAGATTAGAAAGCCACGACTTATAGATAAAATAAACAAGTTATAGGATAAAAACAAAGCAATACAAAAATTAAAACTTAGCTTTTCCAGATTTTGAAAAGAATGAAATCAACTCATTTTCCCAAACCAAATAGAAAGCCCATATGACAGTGAGATCTTTTAATTTACTGGATTTTTGTGTTGATAACCAACAGGAAACTACTTGAACACTATCATGTCACAAAGTCCCATATCTAACTTTACCCTGGACTCCACATAGATTGATTGTAACAAGGTTCCAACCTTAACACATCACACAGGCCTGGGACAGAAATAACATTTTCACATTTAAGATAGAACAAAGACACAAAATGGTTTGGAAAAAACTTAATTCTCATGTGCTCATTACCTAAAATGTTTCTCAATATGATGTGCACATAACCATCAAAAAACAACAATGGGGAAAGGTAACATTTGAAAAAAAAAGAAAGAAAGAAAAAAAGGATATGACACCATGGTTATGTTCCTTTTGCTTTTGACCAACAGGAAGTCCTTCCAGTCCACCAGTTTCTCTCTAGGGGAAGAAGAGTGTCAATACATGAGACGAACTAAAAGAAAGCCTGAACTGCCTTTGTGCCTTTAGGAAGGTGCAAAAGGGCAACATTATAAAGTTTATTAAAAGCACATAGAGTGCTGAGACAAAAAATGAAGACGTTTCAGTGGGCTTAGACTCACCGAACCATAGCCTGGGCTCGTTCCTGCAGACCAGCAGAGAGACGATGAGTAACATCAGCAGACAAAGAATCAGTCAGGAAACACTGTTTGTATATTCCACATAACTGGGTCTTCATGTTCTTACACCACGGGATGAGACTTAAATTTTTAAAAAAAAGTAATGAAAAACGTTAAAAGGAACTTCAGGCACTTTTGCTTTAATGACATTTGGCCACCAGAGGGCAGTAGAGGACTTACTCTTTGTTGAATCCAGAACCTGCTCTGGAAAAGGCTCGGGTCTTGAACTCTGCCCAGACATTTTGTAACTGTGCAAACTGGGAGAGAATTAGAAAATGTTCTTGTTTGAGCTCAACTCATGAAAACGGAAGACTTAAATGTGATTCTTTTAAATAAGAATAAGAAATCTCGGGAGGTTTTTTTGAGTTCAGATTATGACAACTAAACAAATGAAATGTTCCATTGTAATTCAGAAGGTCGTACAATGAAATGACAGGGTCTGAAACTGGTAACATCCACCTGTAAGTCATGGGGCTCCAAAGATTTGATGAATTTGTCCATTTTGGAGCGGATGTCCTGCATATTCAGAGGACTTCTGGCTGAAGCGGGACCGCCATGGCCTTCGTGTAAACGTTTCTCCAGCTTCTCAAAGTCCTCCAAGTACTTGTACACCGAGATGGCCAGAGCACTGGAGGAAATCTGACATGGGTGACAGAATGTCCTTAGACATACAGTGCCTTTCAGAAATAATCTTACCTTTTGAACTTTTGTTCCCATTTTCTCATAATATATAATTAAGCTTAAGAAAAACATTACCAGTGCTGAAATTCCAAAAACATATAGCTATTTACTCTAACATCCCTAAATAATATTCAGTGCAATATTTCTCTCCAGGTGTGCAAAGATACCAGAGACATACTAACAAAAACTTCCAGCTGTAATAGCATTGAAATGTAGTCTAGGAAGTACTGACTCAGAGTGTCTGAATAAAAATGCCAAACTTTTTTGTGTAAAAAAAACTGAAGAGGGACCCTGTATTTTATAAATATGAACAACCTAGTGTTGCTAAATTTCAAAGAAATACTTAAAAAATTAAAGAGTATTTCAAAGGCACTGCGGTGTTAATTGTGTACTATGTCTGTTAAACATCTATCTACAATGTTTAACAGGCATCTTTGCTGCAACTAAAGAGAAACAGGCTTTGTTTTAATGGAACCACAAACCTTGGTGAGCAGCACGAGTGTGATGCCTGGCCACAGCGAGAGGCAGTACATGGAGTGAGGCATCATGGGATACAACCCATCTTTGTGCGATACCTCGAGAAAAACTCTTCGAGGGCTGGCAGGGTCCGGTGGGTTAATTTCCAGAGTGTGCAAGCTGTCCTCTGCCATCTAAAGACATGAATGCAGATACAAGTGTGTCACTTTTAATTCCAATCTTTGTGTCTCGTCGAGAAAAATATTCTGACCTGGATATCTGGGTCCACAAACTCAAACACAGGAGTTTCTCCTCGGCCAGCTTTCTCTAGTAAAACCAAAACAAAGTCAGTCCTCAAGATGGAAGCGAAAAATTTAGCACAAATAAAATGACTTTACTCAATAACTCACCTGAACTGCTGGAGCTTCTACTGGAGGGGGAAGGTTCTGGTGTATAAAAACTTTCAGGACCAGAACCGGATGTGCTCTCAGCATCCTTCACAGAGAAACAGAAAATGGTGAAGAAAAAATGAAAACAGCAGAAACAAGCAGCTGTTTGAGAAGTTGTGGGCCGTTCGATACCTCCGGACTCATGTCGTCCAGGTCTACATTGCTGGGATACATATTTTGTGCCATGACGATGAGGGCCAGCAGGTCTGAGGGGGAGAGGATGCTCGCATTGCGGCTGCAGTGAGAGAAGCGGAAGGTTGGCAAATATGTAAACAAATCAAAATGGAAATATGAAACGCAATAAACGCAAGTCGGCAGCAGTAAATTGCACAGGGTATGCAATACAAAAAAATGAAAGCATGAACCTGGAGTAGAATGCGAGCAGCTTGGTGTGAACGAGGACGAAGGCGTGCAGAACCTCCTCTCCCGCTCGCTCCACACTGCTGTTGAGCTGCTGGACGAGGCGGCGCTCCAGGAACTCTATGCACAGCTCACAGAGCTGCGGGTGAATCAGCCGCTCCACTGCCTGAGAGAAAAACAACAAAAAAAAAAACTGTTAGGTGAAGTTAAGTTTTCTTCTTCACAAACAAAAACAAAAAGGACAACTTTGACTCCAAAATATTACCAGCATTTATGTAGATAATCATATGTCGGAGATTATTTTTAGTGAGAAGTTAATACATAAGTTACAGGGAAAAAAAGCATTTAATGACTTGTGAGAAAGATAGGCTTTTATAGGTTGTTTAAGCCTTCACTGTATTACAGTGGCCAGTTCAACTTATTGTAATAACTGTCTATTATTTATTCGTCTGGATTTTGTTTTTATTTATTGTTTATGTTGATTAATATCATCACCAATTTTAGATCTTATATTATTTGTCTTTCCTTAACATTTTTTAAATCCTAGAACAGATTACATAAAAAATAAAACATGGTGGAGGTAGTATAATGGTGAAGTTTACGTTCTATTAGCGGGAAAAATTAATTGCCATTTCAAATGACATTTTACTAATTTGTATACTTTAATTTTATTTTTTCCATCTAATTTAATCCACCAAAATTATGAAGTGAAGATGTATAGAAAAGCAATTGAAATTACAGAGTAGTTTTTAAATCTTTTAGAAAGGTGGAGTAATAATCCTGACTTCGATCAACAGAAATATTCTGTAAAGAGAAGAAATAAGTATGAAACAATGAAAAATATATTTTCTAGTTTAAGATCGGGGTGAAAACTAAAGATGTTTCATCTAAATGAAATTCTGACATGTTTGCTGTTTAAAGTAATGTAAAAAGAAAAATATGCAAATAAATAAATAAGAAACATTTGAGGTGAGGGCAAACGCACTTTCTTTTAGAAATGACTGAATTGAAAGAATCCTGGATTTGCTCCAGCCAGTAGAAACCTTTATTTACTAATCAGGCCGACTGCTCAGACAGGTCTGATCAAGGCTTAGCTTAGCTGCATTCACAATGGCAAAAAATCCACATTCCAGGTCTGAAGTTATGTTTCGTTTATCCCCTTCTGGCCCCCGGTACTTAAGAAGCAAAAAGCGTTCCACCTCCACTAAGAAGCTCTGGTCGTTCTCCCGGAGGAGGCTGTAGGTCTCCAGCAGGCTCTGCAGATACTTCCAGAGCCTCGCTCTCTGCTCCGTGTCCTGAGGCCGCAGTCTGAAGGGGAACCAAACGGATGAGGCGTCGGCCACACAGCCACCCTAACGCAGTCCAGAACACACATGAGAAAGCTGGACGTTCTTACTCTTTCCTCAGGAGGTTCCCACTGAGCGTGACCATGCCGAACATGACCTCCACCATCTTTTTCAGCACGTACAATTTTCTCCTCAGGTCGTCCTCCTTTTCTTCGCCGTCCCCGTTCACAGCGATGTAGAGACACTCGTCAAACTGGAGGAGCACATCGCAGCACAATTAGGTTTTTGCTCCACGTGCAAAAGACAGCGAAAAGAAATGAGAGATGCTTTGCGACGTTGTTCTGCTTTGGGAGTTCTCTGAAAATGGCGCTAAAGGTTTTGACGGTGCAACCCGATCATGTGCCACAGGGGGACAAAGCCTGGCTTGACTCTTTAACTCCACTCACATGACAAATGTGACGCCTCGCTAGAAGAGAGGCATTCATTCAGGTCACTGTGGCACAAGTGCTTTCTACTGTCAAATATTTCAGAATTAGAGCATAAAAGTTCACAGGTCAGAGCAAATATATTTTTTATGGTGTAGGACGATTTACGTGTGTTGTTCTCGGTGGTGAAAGAGGTGTAGCTGTCCTCCAGGGTGCTGCAGGAGATAATGATGGGGGCAAACAAAGTGCTCAAGATGTCCTCAAAGGCAGGAAGCTGAAACAAAGAATTGGAAATAAAACCAACGGGAGTCATTTTAAGCCTTCACTAGAAGCAATTAAATAAGAAGGATTTATTTTCCTCCTCCGTACCCCTTCGCCTTCCTCCTGAGAAACTCCATACTTCTCCTGGATATTCTGCCGATACTCCCGGTCACTCCAGTGGAAGAGGACCTCGGCGCTCTCGCTGGCTATCAACAAGCACTTCATTTGGACCAGAAACGTCGTCCCGTCAAATATTCAAAAAAGGATGCTTCACTGTAACACACACAAAACAAAAAAAAAGGGAAGGAAAGCAGAAAGCGTAATTGTGAAAAACTTACAGCTGACCGGGAGGAAAAGCAGATTTGTTGTGTTTCACAGGTGGAAACGTCAATTAAATTTTTGTAATTTTTTCTTTTTTATTATTATTATTATTATTTCTACATTGTGGGAAAACAGTTAGAGGCAAGAATATGAACAGAAGAAGCCAAGGCAAACTAAAAATAAAAAAAGCATTATGTTTTTAGTGAAAAAAAAGCCAATATCTTTGGGGTTTTGTTAAAAGTCCAGTTTTTGGTCTGTAACAAAAAATAAAATAATAATAAAAAAACTATAATAGCAATATTAAGCATTTTTTATGTCATTATTTAAAATTAAACAGAAAAAAAAGCATCTTAAAAATCCATGTTTTTGACGTGAAGGGAGCCAATTCTGAGGGTAATAATAAGGCCTCCAACCCCGAAAGAGGAATTCATCACTGAAGACAAATCAGAAAAAAAACACACACACACATGCAAAAAGCGATTCTCTGTAAGAGTCACGCATCATCCTGCATGGAAACCCCGCAAACATGAAACCCAGTCTGTCCTTTTCCCAGCATCACCAAACATATCACAGAGGAAGCAACCAAACTGTCAGGTTTCACATCAAATCCTGACACTCGAACTTCCTCCATTCATTAACCTCTCTCTGACATTTCGCTCCGACGGGAACCTTCAGTCGACTCACTCCGGGGTCTCAGCTCGGTCCTCGCCGCATCTCCGTCCTCCTCTGCTGTTGGGAAAAAGTCCAGCTTCCTCCTGCTTTCTTCTCCGCAGGTACAACAAGCGCTCGTCGCTTTCTTCCGCACTTCTCGACCGAAGCGCCACGCAGTCATGTGACCCCCGAGCCAGGAAATGTGTGGTATGGCAAGCCAGCTTGTCGCATAATTGTTCGTCAGTTTCTCTGCTTCTCAGAGCAGATGTTTGCGTTTCAAAGTCAATTTAAAGACTCCAAGACTCGCAATGATTGTTCATAAAGGTATTTATGCTGAATCTGAAAATATATATATGGTAGGTCTATTTAAATGTAAAGTACACATGCCTATACTATGTGTACTTAATACACATAATATTGTGTGTTATGTGTATTATTTTAAGAGGTAATTAAACTTTTTGCACTTTAAATCTTATCAGGCATCCTTTTGATTTTTTTCTTTCTTGCATTGAATTAACTAACAATAGCAGCTCATCTAATCGATTTTAAGTCTTGTTATAACTGACTTATAAAATGTTTTGTTTTTTTAATGCTGCTCCAGTCAGTCAGATTTTTTTCTTTTTTTAAAAAAAAAATGCTGCAATCAATCAATATGAAAAGGGTTGAAATGCCAATTCCTAGTTCATCTGTTTTCACTGCAGGGTCTCGGTCAAATGATTTGCGGTATTAACTTTGATGCTGATGGATTCATGGTAGTCATCAGTTTATGCTGGCAAAAATAAATAGCCAACATGCTGGTTTTATTCCAAGACGACTGCCGCGGATAAGTCGCCCAGTTTGATCTGAACATCTCTTCTTTCATCTGCTTCTTTCCTGGCGCTCTGCTTTCTTCATGCAAAACAGGCATGCAACCAGGCTTGTGCAGAGCACACATCGTCCACAAAAATGTGGAAGTCTTGTTAAAAAGGAGACTTTTTTTGAATAAAATTGTTGTAGGGGTTAGTAAACTGAGAGTTTGGTTATTCTTTGGTGAGTAGTGAGCACAACTTTGTTCAGCAAAGTTAATTTCCACTACTTTGATGCACACAAATTGAAAACCATATTTCTATGTCTGAAAGTCTTTGCGGGTATCTGCAGATCCATCCACATTTATGAGTGCACAGTGATGCGTTTTTTTCTTTCCTTTATCCAGTATAACAGTGTACCGACGGTGCTAGAAATGCCAACAGTTTGGACTTCATATTCCTCCGACAAAGAAAGGTAAGTCTGGAAAAGAAAAATTACCAGAAGGATCTTGCATTCCAGACTTACACGGTCAAAAAGCTTCCAGTCAGAAGTTGGATTTTAAATATCTGACAAGAAAAGCTTTTCCAGACATCTTCAGTACACTGCTTTCCCCTCCACAGCATTGAAACTCCGATGATGTAAGAAATTAGTTGCATTTAAGTGAAAAAAAAAAGCAATTTTAGACTGATTACTTTGAAAAATCAGTGATAACAACATGACTGAAAATATCTACAAAGATGCTTTATATATCCAAGAAGAACTAGAAGCTGTGCTAGAACCTTTTATATTAAATAAAAAGTCACGGGACAATTATTCTTAATAACAGCTGTGATGGTGTCTTGTGTGTGTTTTGCTTTATAACATTTCCAAAGACATATACAAGATCTATTCCACGTAGGAAAAATATACCTTTTCAGTGGGAAAAGTGACATAATTTGTAAATGAAAGAATAACCGCTTGTCTAGATATCTGAACATAGACTGGTAGATGCTAGCTGTCCATATCCAATTCAAATAATTACGTTAATGTGAGTAATCATGGCTTTTTGCAAACCTTCCTTTACCAGGAGAGTTTGTCTGTCTTGTAATTAAGGTGAAAACATAAATCTCGATAACAGTAACCTGTTTTGCAAATTTATGAGAAAAAAAAAAATCACATGTACAGGAGTATTCACAGACTTTGCTTGATATTAATCTCAAATTGATATTCTTGAAATGTTTCTAAAGAGTTCGCCTGCAGTCAGTTAAGCTGATTGGACTTGATTTGGACAGGCACACATCTGTCTATATAATGTGCCACAGCTGACAGTGCAAATTCTCAAACGTTTTCCACGATGTTCTCATAATGGGGCGTTTTTGTGTAGAGGTGTGAGGAAATGGGTTGATTTAAAACGATTTAGGATAAGGCTGTACTGTGGCACACATTTTGGGAAAAAAAAATCACAAAATAAAGCACTGTGAATATTATACGTCATGAGGGCCTGCCATAACCCAGCTCTTGAGCCCCTCTTTTCAGTGAACTGTTCTTCCAGGAGCCTGATGATCACTGAGGCAGGAACAAGTCATGTGCTGATGAATGGAGTGGAGCACATGACGGACTGAGAGTTTGAGATAATAATGTGGTATCTGTGGCATGCAGCGTCAAGATTTCGATTTAGATTAATGGGGATCTTGCCCTTTGGTTTTTGTGAAGAAAGACGAGCTGTGAGCTCTGAGCCATTTTCAAGTCCATGTGATGAAAGAGAGGTCTGTCTGCCTAACTGATCTGGAAAATAATGTTAGCATAGAGCAAACAACTTGGTATGACGAGTTACATTTGTCTAAAAATCAATCCCACTCTTCAGAGCCTCTGTTTGTGAGACCTCTATGTGCAAATGCTAAGTGATTGAGGCCAGAAGGGCATCCTGATTTATTGTCTGAATTTGTGTTTCTATCGTTTTCCTTTCTTGACTGATATCTTTTGGGAATAAGAACAAGCTGATAAACATCTGCAGTTGATGTTTTGGCTTTTTTAATTTACACTAAACAGGAACAGAGCATAAGCTTCATTAACCTAAAAAAGGAGAGATGCATTGTATCACCTTATAGCTCTTGTCTGCTTTTTTTTCTGACCAGCTGGTGTTAAAAGGTACGAGTTTGATCCTATATAACTATGTACAACTATTACAATTTGTAGTTCTTTTAAAAACTCTTCTTCATTTAACAACTGAATTTCATTTGAGATTATTCAGAGATTATTCAAATGGTGAAAGGTGTGCACTATTTAACACAAGTTTAAATCTGAACATGGCCAAACTCCAAGTTATAGGAGAGTTTGCAGTCATTATGTATAGTCTTATACATATCACAAAAGGAAACAGAGTAAAAGAAAAAAAAAAAAAGAAGAAGAAAGCAGCCTGGAGCTCCTTACCCACTAAGACGCTTGAAAACTGTTGGCAGGACTTACTAACAGAAATTATTGAAACACCAGGCCGCTTCTCAGAGAAACGTCTGATGGCTTCAACAAATCTGCCTTTTATCATAATATTCTGCACAGAGTGTGCGCTAGGCCTCTGAGTGAAGCAAAGCATCATAAATATTTATGTTTTATTAACCCTGCTTGGGTCGAAATGGTCCCAAATGCTGGGATTTGGGACATTGCGAGCCAAAGTCTAATCTAGTCCATCAGTTTTCTGGAGACCTGGAGCTCATGACGATCTTATTTAGGCTGACTCCTGTATATACAGAGTAAACATCATGAAATCCTCAGTGTTTGCTGACAGGGGGGGGGCCTTGCATGCCTCAAAACGGATCCCTGGATATAAACAGTGTTAGCTGGGCCTGAGCAACGGCTACCTCCACTGTGGAGACGCTGTCACGCACAAGTGGCGAGGCACGGCACAGTCTTCCTAAATCAGACCCTAGTTAGGTTCAGTGAGTGGAATAGCTGTACTTATGCCCCATTGTTCACATCAGCCCAAATCAAATTACTTCACTGATTTCTGTTCAGATTCAGAATCCAGCAGAAATCTTGTGAATTGCATATAATTGTTTCAGTTTTTGTAAAAGAAGAGTTGCTATAAAACAGCAGATATCACCTAATGACAGTCCA